GATTAGTCGATTTACTAGTCAATGGACTAGTTTATTGACTAGTCTGTGGCACGGTGTATTGACTTGACTATTGGCTTATCAATAGTCTATTCTATTGACTAGTCTATGCACTGGACTATTGACTGGTATATAGAATAGTCTACTGACTAGTCTATGGAATAGTCTAGACTATTGACTAGACTGTAGAATATCCTATTGACTAGTCTATGGAATACTCTATTAACTAGTTCATAGACTAGTCCATAGGCTTGTCCATGGCCTAGTCTATGAACTAGAATGGTCTATAGAATAGCCAATGGGCTGGTCTACGCATTAGTCTATCGAGTATTCTATGGAATTTTCTATGAAATAGTCAGTTGACCAGTCTATGGACTGGGCTATGGAATGATCTATCGACTATTCTATGGAATGCTCTATTTAGTAGTCTAATGACTCACAAGTCAATTGATTTACCCATGTACAAGTCTTTAGACTGGTCTATCGACTATGTTATTGACTAGTCTATGTTTTAGATCTAGGCAAGTCTAAACTATGGTCTGCGTTGCAAACTAGTCTACGGACTAGACTATTGTTTGGTCAATGGAATAATCTACACACTGGCCCATAGACAAATCGACATCTCACCAAATTTATATTAAACATTTTATTAAATGGCTTAAAGTATGCAATATATTTTAGCATATAAGGTCTGTGTCTTATTTAAGAACAAATGCTCTTGGAATATTCGCGAAAAAGTTAAGTTATACAATATCTAAAATTATAAAATCTCTAGAACGATTCTTTTTTTCTTCTAAGGACAATACTTTTTCACAGATTCTTTATTAAAAAAAAAGTAGTATTAAGAAAAGTGTTAATAACTATTTGGTGGTAAATACTACTATTATAATCCAAACTACCAGACACTTATAATTAAAGGAAATAAAAGCTAACTTAGATAAATAAAAACTAATAAATATGCTAATAAATCTGTTGTCGCTACTAGACATTATGTTGAACCATTTTAAATGAAATTATTAAACATTCCAAAAAAAATTTTGGCTACAAAAAGTTATTAAAGCAAATATAATAACCAAGGTCATCCAAACAATAAAGATGAAATATCAACAACCCACAACACTTTTGTTTAAATATTTATTTTCAAACATAAATTAATGTTTATGATTAAATTTTGTCATGTAGATGAAATGTGTATTTAAATTAACATTAAGGGACGTTTCTACACACATTGTTACTATTGAACGAAGCATAGTATTTTTAACCAAAATAAAAACAAACAAAAAAAAGAAATTGTGTAATAATTACCACAACAAAAGTTGATTCATCTTAATGGTTTAAGTTTAAGTTTGTTATTTAAATGAAACTGTTTGTTTTTGTTTTGGTTTCGTTTCGTTTAAGAGTACACTGACTCTGGAGCTTTCGTTGACCTAGATTTTTGTAATATTATTAATAAAATATGAACTAATTATTTTAAAGAAATATGTTGCAATTTTGTAAGATGTTATAATTATTATAATAAATTTAAAATTTTGCATGATTTACTAACAGTTTGTTGAACAAGCCTTCAAATGAAAACAAAAGACTTAAGACACAAACTTGAAGATAGGGTTTAAGCAATAGGAACTACTGTTATTATAAAATTTGAATTTGTTGTTGTAAATTATTAAAGATTTATTATAAATTGTAAATTTAATTTTCGCCCACATTAACTTCCACCATCAAAACAATTACAAAACAAAAGATTTAAGACAAAAACCTTGTCAAAGAAAGGAAATAATAATAAATGTTAGGGATGGTCAAGTTGTACTTTTTTCTTTTAATTTTATTGTTAATTTAATTCAAAATAAAAATTTTATTTCAAAATAATCTTGCCAGTCATATAAATTTTATTAAATAACCATTAAGGATGCAATTAACATTTCATTATTATTTAACTATTAAAATGTGTTAAAGAAAAAACTTTGTAAAATATATTAGTGTATAATAATTTTATAGTTTACATAATATCTATTTAACCAATCAACAATGTTGCCTTAAATATATAAAAAAAAATGCAAAAAAACAAAAGACTTCAGACACACACTCGATTGTCATAATGAAGTCTTTAAAGAGCTGAATATTGATGTTCGATTTTTTGTATGAATTTTGAATAAATAATTTTATATAAAAATCATGTTGAGGTGGGTCATGAATGCAATCACCACCACCACACACTTTCTTAAAAACGAGGGCTGTTTATTTTTTTTTTGCAAAATTTATAAAATTTGTTCGTTTCTTTTGAACATTTTAGTGAACAATTTTGAAAAACTTGAATTTTCTATAGAATATTTTTACAAAAACACTAATTAAGACTAGTTCTAGACTAGTTCAAAGTTTTGTCCATAGACTACTTCATAAGCTAGTCAATAGACTTGTCAATAAACCAGTCAATAGACTAGTCCATAGACTACTCAATAGACTAGTACATAGACTAGTTAACAGACTAGTCTATAGACTAGTTCATAGGCTAGTCCATTGGGACTAGTCAATAGACTAGTCCATAGACTAGACAATATACTATTTAGTAATCTTGTCCATAGGCTAGACAATAGACTAGACCATAGACTAATCAATTGCCCAGTCCATAGGCTAGTCAATAGGCTATTCAAGAGATTATTCAATATATTAATCAATAGTCTATTAAGTAAACTAGTGCACAGACTAGTTAATGGACTAGTCCATAAACAACTCAGTAGATTAGTCCATAGACTAGTCAATAGGCTAGTCCTTAGACTAATCAATAAACGAGTTCATAGATAAATCCATAGACTAATTAATAGACTAGTCTATAGTCAATAGTCTATTTAATAGGCTAGTTAATAGACCAGTTAATAGAGTAGTTTATAGACTAGTCCATGTACTAGCCAATAAATTAGATCACAAAATAACTAGATCACACTGTCTAGTTAATAGGCAATTCCATAGAATAGTTTATGAACTTATCAATACACTAGATCATAGACTAATCTGTAGACTAGTTAATAAAGTAAAGACTAGTCAATAGTTTAGTCCACTAATTAGTCATGACATTAGATCACATACTAGTTCATATGCTAGTCAATAGATTAGTTCAAAAGAAATATCAGTGGACTAGATACAGTTCTATTCAGTTCTAGTTCAGTTCTAGTTCAGTTCTAGTTCAGTTCTAGTTCAGTTCTAGTTCAGTTCTAGTTCAGTTCTAGTTCAGTTCTAGTTCAGTTCTAGTTCAGGTTCTAGTTCATTCTAGTTCAGTTCTAGTTCAGTTCTAGTTCAGTTCTAGTTCAGTTCTATTCAGTCTAGTTCAGTTCTAGTTCAGTTCTAGTTCAGTTCTAGTTCAGTTCTAGTTCAGTTCTAGTTCAGTTCAGTTCTAGTTCAGTTCTAGTTCAGTTCTAGTTCAGTTCTAGTTCAGTTCTAGTTCAGTTCTAGTTCAGTTCTAGTTCAGTTCTAGTTCAGTTCTAGTTCAGTTCTAGTTCAGTTCTAGTTCAGTTCTAGTTCAGTTCTAGTTCAGTTCTAGTTCAGTTCTATAGTTCTAGTTCAGTTCTAGTTCAGTTCTAGTTCAGTTCTAGTTCAGTTCTAGTTCAGTTCTAGTTCAGTTCTAGTTCAGTTCTAGTTCAGTTCTAGTTCAGTTCTAGTTCAGTTCTAGTTCAGTTCTAGTTCAGTTCTAGTTCAGTTCTAGTTCAGTTCTAGTTCAGTTCTAGTTCAGTTCTAGTTCAGTTCTAGTTCAGTTCTAGTTCAGTTCTAGTTCAGTTCTAGTTCAGTTCTAGTTCAGTTCTAGTTCAGTTCTAGTTCAGTTCTAGTTCAGTTCTAGTTCAGTTCTAGTTCAGTTCTAGTTCAGTTCTAGTTCAGTTCTAGTTCAGTTCTAGTTCAGTTCTAGTTCAGTTCTAGTTCAGTTCTAGTTCAGTTCTAGTTCAGTTCTAGTTCAGTTCTAGTTCAGTTCTAGTTCAGTTCTAGTTCAGTTCTAGTTCAGTTCTAGTTCAGTTCTAGTTCAGTTCTAGTTCAGTTCTAGTTCAGTTCTAGTTCAGTTCTAGTTCAGTTCTAGTTCAGTTCTAGTTCAGTTCTAGTTCAGTTCTAGTTCAGTTTCTAGTTCAGTTCTAGTTCAGTTCTAGTTCAGTTCTAGTTCAGTTCTAGTTCAGTTCTAGTTCAGTTCTAGTTCAGTTCTAGTTCAGTTCTAGTTCAGTTCTAGTTCAGTTCTAGTTCAGTTCTAGTTCAGTTCTAGTTCAGTTCTAGTTCAGTTCTAGTTCAGTTCTAGTTCAGTTCTAGTTCAGTTCTAGTCAGTTCTAGTTCAGTTCTAGTTCAGTTCTAGTTCATTCTAGTTCAGTCTAGTTCAGTTCTAGTTCAGTTCTAGTTCAGTTCTAGTTCGTTCTAGTTCAGTTCTAGTTCAGTTCTAGTTCAGTTCTAGTTCAGTTCAGTTCAGTTCTAGTTCAGTTCTAGTTCAGTCTAGTTCAGTTCTAGTTCAGTTCTAGTTCTTCAGTTTCTAGTTCTAGTTCAGTTCTAGTTCAGTTCTAGTTCATTTCTAGTTCAGTTCTAGTTCAGTTCTAGTCAGTTCTAGTTCAGTTCTAGTTCAGTTCTAGTTCAGTTCTAGCTCAGTTCTAGTTCAGTTCTAGTTCAGTTCTAGTTCAGTTCCAGTTCAGTTCTAGTTCAGTTCTAGTTCAGTTCAGTTCTAGTTCAGTTTTAGTTCAGTTCTAGTTCAGTTCTAGTGCAGTTCTAGTTCAGTTCCAGTTCAGTTCTAGTTCAGTTCTAGTTCAGTTCTAGTTCAGTTCTAATTCAGTTCTAATTCAGTTCTACTTCAGTTCTAGTTCAGCTCTAGTTCAGTTCTAGTTCAGCTCTAGTTCAGTTCTAGTTCAGCTCTAGTTCAGCTCTAGTTCAGTTCTGGTTTAGTTCTAAGCAAGTCATAGTTTAGACCACATCATTAAACTATAGACAATTTATCGATAACTATTAATTAATAACAAATATCTCCTCTCTTCCCCTTTCTCTCATTTCAGTTAGCAGCATTTAGTGTCCTACTCTTGGGCACTTTGGTCCACAGTAAAGCTCTACCAAATGGCCAACAGCAACAACATCTACAACAACTACAGCCTCAACCAACACAATTACAGCAACAACAACAACAGCAGCAATCTACACCAAATAGAATTGTATTCGATCAACAAGCCGCTGAATCACAAGTGCCAAATGCCCATATAGTGCAACAACAAATCGTTCCACAACCCGCTTTAGTACCAGCTCAAAATACTCAAGTCGTACAGCAAAGAATCGACTTAGAGGCTCTACACGATCTACATCACGTGCATGATCATGAACACCATCATCATCATCATGAACATAATCCAGGTTTTTGGAAAAAGAAGGTAACTTGGAAGGAGGGTTGGAAGAAGATTTGGAAACCAGCGAAAAAACAAATTTGGGTGCCACAATGGAAACAGATCTGGAAACCCGTCTGGGTGCCTGTAAAAGTGCCAGCTTGGAAAGATATACAGGTGCCGGCTTGGAAACAAATCTGGAAACCGGTGTGGAAGGAGGTACAGGTGCCGGCATGGAAGGAGATACAAGTGCCTGATTGGAAAAAGATCTGGAGACCCATATGGGTGCCTACTAAAGTGCCGGCCTGGAAAGATATACAAGTGCCAGCTTGGAAACAGATTTGGGTGCCGGTGTGGAAAGAAATACAAGTACCAGCCTGGAAGGAAATACAAGTACCAGAATGGAAACAATATTGGACCCCTGAATGGATTAAAGTGGGCATACCCGGTGAGAAATATCTGGGCAAAGATCACGAAGGTTGGGAATATACTAGTCATGATTTGTGGAAAAAGAAATTAGTGTGGAAATCCCACTGGAAAAAGATATGGAAACCAGCCAAGAAGCAAATTTGGGTGCCTAGCAAAAAGTTGGAATGGAAAGAAGATTGGAAGCAGATATGGAAACCAGCCAAGAAACAAATCTGGGTAGAAAGCAAAAAACTCGAATGGAAAGAAGAATGGAAACAGATATGGAAACCAGCCAAAAAACAAATCTGGGTACCCGACAAGAAACTCGAATGGAAGGAAGCCTGGGTTAAAATCTGGAAACCAGCCAAGAAACAAATCTGGGTGGAGGATAAAAAACTCCAATGGAAGGAAGCCTGGAAACAGATATGGGTGCCTGGCTGGAAAGAGGTATGGGTACCGGATTGGAAAAAAATCTGGAAACCAGTTATTATATCCGAATGGTTCCCCATCGATGATCATCATGAAGCACATCACCATCATCACGGTCATGAAATAGTACATGGTCATGAAATAGAACATGGTCATGAGATAGAACATGGTCATGAAATCGAGCACATACATGCCATAGAACATGGCCATGGCTGGGATCGTAAAGATGCCCAAAATAATGACAAAGTAGTGTGGAAACGTGATGATAGTACAGCTAATAAATCCACCCAATTGCAACCGGTACAAAGTACAGATTATCAAAATAAACCTGCCGATAATGCACAGGACGCTAGCCAGCAGCCACTCAAATTTCCAGCAGCGTGAAATCAAGTCTAGCTAATCGTTAAACAATAACTAACGTTTATAACGTTTTGACTTCTTTAACCAGCCATGATTTACCATACAAATTTTCCATTTCCTCTGTTTTGCTATAACTCTGTAAAACTTGTATATAAGTATTATAACTTAATCTTTCCAAGCTGTTCTTCTTTTCCACTTTCTTCCTTTCCATCTCTTGTGCTGTTTATAGTTTAAGTTCTTTTTTTAAAAAATGCTCTCTAACACTGTCTCTTTTGTACGCTGTATTTACTCCCGTGCATACATTTCAATTTAAATTATTTTATTTTTAAATTAAATTATAATTATTAATTTTTATTGTATTTGGAAAGTTAATTAATAACGCTTTAACTTAACTTTCTTAGTTTTTAATTTAATTTATAAGGTACAAACTAAAGTAAACAAAAAAAAAATAAATGAAAACTTAAGTTTTTTACTGAAATAAAAAGCAAAAATTTTGTAAAAATTTATAAATAAATAGTTAAATAATTTATTAGGGAACAATATGGCAAGTTTGTTAACAATACAATATAAAAATCAAAAGAATACATCGTTATTAGGGAAAGCTTTAGTTATACTCTTTCCTTTAACTTTTAAACTTAATTCTAAAATTTAGGTTTTTAATAGGTTTTATCTTAATATTTGTATTCACTGAATTTTGTATTACTATTCGATTTAGACCAACCAGGTGGTGAGTTGGGTAAAGGTACCCATTCCTTTTGTATTATAGGTGACCAGACCTTTTTCCAGATGGGCACATATATAGTTTTGGGTTTCCAGTATTTAACCCAACGTGATTTCCAGGATTTTTTCTCAGACCAAAAACCATCTTTGCTGGGATCTAAGGAGTCGGTGTGCTTAACACTGAAAAAGTTAAGATAGGTTTGAAAAAAGGTTCTAGTTCCGTTCTAGTTCAGTCTAGTCAGTTCTAGTTTCAGTTCTAATTCAGTTCTAGTTCAGTTCTAGTTCAGTTCTAGTTCAGTTCTAGTTCAGTTCTAGTTCAGTTCTAGTTCAGTTCTAGTTCAGTTCTAGTTCAGTTCTAGTTCAGTTCTAGTTCAGTTTCTAGTTCAGTTCTAGTTCAGTTCTAGTTCAGTTCTAGTTCAGTTCTAGTTCAGTTCTAGTTCAGTTCTAGTTCAGTTCTAGTTCAGTTCTAGTTCAGTTCTAGTTCAGTTCTAGTTCAGTTCTAGTTCAGTTCTAGTTCAGTTCTAGTTCAGTTCTAGTCAGTTCTAGTTCAGTTCTAGTTCAGTTCTAGTTCAGTTCTAGTTCAGTTCTAGTTCAGTTTCTAGTTCAGTTCTAGTTCAGTTCTAGTTCAGTTCTAGTTCAGTTCTAGTTCAGTTCTAGTTCAGTTCTAGTTCAGTTCTAGTTCAGTTCTAGTTCAGTTCTAGTTCAGTTCTAGTTCAGTTCTAGTTCAGTTCTAGTTCAGTTCTAGATCAGTTCTAGTTCAGATTCTAGTTCAGTTCTAAGTTCAGTTCTAGTTCCGTTCAGTTAAGTTCTAGTTCAGTTCTAGTTCAGTTCTAGTTCAGTTCTAGTTCAGTTCTAGTTCAGTTCTAGTTCAGTTCTAGTTCAGTTCTAGTTCAGTTCTAGTTCAGTTCTAGTTCAGTTCTATTTCAGTTCTAGTTCAGTTCTAGTTCAGTTCTAGTTCAGTTCTAGTCAGTTCTAGTTCAGTTCTAGTTCAGTTCTAGTTCAGTTCTAGTTCAGTTCTAGTTAAGTGTTCCTAAGTTCAGTGTCTAGTTCAGATTCTATTCAGGTTCTAGTTCATCTAGTTAGTTCTAGTTCAGTTCTTCAGTTTCAGTTCTAGTTCAGTTCTAGCTTCAGTTCTAGTTTCTAGTTCATTCTAGTATTCAGTTCTAGTTCAGTTTCAGTTAGTTCAGTTCTAGTTCACGTTCTAGTTCAGTTCTAGTTAGTTCTAGATTCAGTTCTAGTTCAGTTCTAGTCAGTTCAGTTCTAGTTCAGTTCTAGTTCAGTTCTACTCAGTTCTAGTTCAGTTCTAGTTCAGTTCTAGTTCAGTTCTAGTTCAGTTCTAGTTCAGTTCTAGTTCAGTTCTAGTTTAGTTCTAGTCAGTTCTAGTTCAGTTCTAGTTCAGTTCTAGTTCAGTTCTAGTTTCAGTTCTAGTTCAGTTCTAGTTCAGTTCTAGTTCAGTTCTAGTTCAGTTCTAGTTCAGTTCTAGTTCAGTTCTAGTTCAGTTCTAGTTTAGTTCTAGTTCAGTTCTAGTTCAGTTCTAGTTCAGTTCTACTTCAGTTCTAGTTCAGTTCTAGTTCAGTTCTAGTTCAGTTCTAGTTCAGTTCTAGTTCAGTTCTAGTTCAGTTCTAGTTCAGATCTAGTTCAGTTCTAGTTCAGTTCTTGTTCAGCTCTAGTCCAGTTCTAGTTCAGTTCTTGTTCAGCTCTAGTCCAGTTCCAGTTCCATAGCAATTTCATTCTAGCCCTACTATAAAATGGGTTTCAATTAGATTTTTGTAGAAAAATGTCAAGAAATCCCTTCTAAATCGGTAGTTCGACTATCTATTGCGAAAAAATTCGGGTAATAAATCTTGTTAATAAATTGCGAAAAAGTCGAATATTTGATATCGAATAAAATAGAAAACTCCAATTTATTGATATGGAAGTTGAACTTGGAAAAAATAACTTTAAACCCAGTATTTAACTTACATTTCAGTATGACTAGTGGTGTAGGCCTGAGTTAAAGATGTAAAACATATTCCAATTATTAGGGCTAATAAGCAAATATGGAGCTATAAACATAAAATGATTATTTTTTTAAATTTCAACACTTTTTTGTATTTTAATTTCAAACTCACTTTCATTTTGTATTAATTTTGTAATTTCACACACAATTTTTTATAATTTCCTTTTTTTCTATTTTTAAAAAAACAAATTTCTTCCGTTTTAATTTCCAACAGCAATCGACTTAACACTTCAAGGTCTTAATTTTAACAAATCAAACGAAATTTATTTTCATTACAATTAAATACCAAATTTTTGGCTGACAATTCAATATCGTAATAGATTTCATTACATTAAGCCGCGAGTTACACCTGCAATTGTTATGTTTTCTATATAAAAACAAAAAACAAAATTCACCTCATTATTTAATGCAAAATTTAAAATTCACCACTGCTACTACTGTTTGTAGACGGTTGTGGGGACACATTTCAAATTTAACTGATAATCACGATTTTGTATCAGTCTTCAAAGAAACAAACAGTTACAACAATACAGTTCAAACATTTTCATTGGTATTTTGTACTAAATTGTTTAATTTTATCATTCGAAACACATCAAGATTTACATTTATTTAAATAGAGTATTTTCGTTAGCAAGTGGTTTAATTGTATACAAATTCATTGAATTCGCTACCGTTTGTGTATTGTTATTTCTTTTGTCTATGGGCGTTAAATGTAATAAATTTAATTATGTATTTTTTGGGATTATATAATAATTAACAAACAGTTTGTTTTTGTGGTTAGATAAAGTAGTATGATAAAAACATAATTTGAAGTTGTTTTTGTTTAAAGGAATTTGTAGTAAAATTTTTAAAATTTAGACCAGACTGGAAACTATACTATAGACTAGACTATAGACTGGACTATAGACTAGACTATAGACTAGACTATAGACTAGACTATGGACTAGACTATAGACTAGACTATAGACTAGACTATAGACTAGACTATAGACTAGACTATAGACTAGACTATAGACTAGACTATAGACTAGACTATAGACTAGACTATAGACTAGACTATAGACTAGACTATAGACTAGACTATAGACTAGACTATAGACTAGACTATAGACTAGACTATAGACTAGACTATAGACTAGACTATAGACTAGACTATAGACTAGAATAGACTAGACTATAGACTAGACTATAGACTAGACTATAGACTAGACTATAGACTAGACTATAGACTAGACTATAGACTAGACTATAGACTAGACTATAGACTAGACTATAGACTAGACTATAGACTAGACTATAGACTAGACTATAGACTAGACTATAGACTAGACTATAGACTAGACTATAGACTAGACTATAGACTAGACTATAGACTAGACTATAGACTAGACTATAGACTAGACTATAGACTAGACTATAGACTAGACTATAGACTAGACTATAGACTAGACTATAGACTAGACTATAGACTAGACTATAGACTAGACTATAGACTAGACTATAGACTAGACTATAGACTAGACTATAGACTAGACAATAGACTAGACTATAGACTAGACTATAGACTAGACTATAGACTAGACTATAGACTAGACTATAGACTAGACTATAGACTAGACTATAGACTAGACTATAGACTAGACTATAGACTAGACTATAGACTAGACTATAGACTAGACTATAGACTAGACTATAGACTAGACTATAGACTAGACTATAAACTAGACTATAGACTAGACTATAGACTAGACTATAGACTTGACTATAGACTAGACTATAGACTAGACTATAGACTTGACTATAGACTAGACTATAGATTAGACTATAGACTTGACTATAGACTAGACTAGACTATAGACTAGACTATAGACTAGACTATAGACTAGACTATAGACTAGACTATAGACTATAGACTAGACTATAGACTAGACTATAGACTAGACTAGACTATAGACTAGACTATTGACTAGACTATAGACTTGACTATAGACTAGACTATAGACTTGACTATAGACTAGACTATAGACTAGACTATAGACTTGACTATAGACTAGACTATAGACTAGACTATAGACTAGACTATAGACTAGACTATAGACTAGACTATAGACTAGACTATAGACTAGACTAGACTATAGACTAGACTAGACTATAGACTAGACTAGACTATAGACTAGACTATTGACTAGACTATAGACTAGACTATAGACTAGACTATAGACTAGACTATAGACTAGACTATAGACTAGACTATAGACTAGACTATAGACTAGACTATAGACAAGACTATAGACTAGACTATAGACTAGACTATAGACTAGACTATAGACTAGACTATAGACTAGACTATAGACTAGACTATAGACTAGACTATAGACTACACTATAGACTAGACTATAGACTAGACTATAGACTACACTATAGACTAGACTATAGACTACACTATAGACTAGACTATAGACTAGACTATAGACTAGACTATAGACTAGACTATAGACTAGACTATAGACTAGACTATAGACTAGACTATAGACTAGACTATAGACTAGACTATAGACTAGACTATAGACTAGACTATAGACTAGACTATAGACTAGACTATAGACTAGACTATAGACTAGACTATAGACTAGACTATAGACTAGACTATAGACTAGACTATAGACTAGACTATAGACTAGACTATAGACTAGACTATAGACTAGACTATAGACTAGACTATAGACTAGACTATGGACTAGACTATAGACTAGACTATAGACTAGACTATAGACTAGACTATAGACTAGACTATAGACTAGACTATAGACTAGACTATAGACTAGACTATAGACTAGACTATAGACTAGACTATAGACTAGACTATAGACTAGACTATAGACTAGACTATAGACTAGACTATAGACTAGACTATAGACTAGACTATAGACTAGACTATAGACTAGACTATAGACTTGACTATAGATTAGACTATAGACTAGACTATAGACTAGACTATAGACTAGACTATAGACTAGACTATAGACTAGACTATAGACTAGACTATAGACTAGACTATAGGCTAGACTATAGACTAGACTATAGGCTAGACTATAGACTAGACTATAGACTAGACTATAGACTAGACTATAGACTAGACTATAGACTAGACTATAGACTAGACTATAGACTAGACTATAGACTAGACTATAGACTAGACTATAGACTAGACTATAGACTAGACTATAGACTAGACTATAGACTAGACTATAGACTAGACTATAGACTAGACTATAGACTAGACTATAGACTAGACTATAGACTAGACTATAGACTAGACTATAGACTAGACTATAGACTAGACTATAGACTAGACTATAGACTAGACTATAGACTAGACTATAGACTAGACTATAGACTAGACTATAGACTAGACTATAGACTAGACTATAGACTAGACTATAGACTAGACTATAGACTAGACTATAGACTAGACTATAGACTAGACTATAGACTAGACTATAGACTAGACTATAGACTAGACTATAGACTAGACTATAGACTAGACTATAGACTAGACTATAGACTAGACTATAGACTAGACTATAGACTAGACTATAGACTAGACTATAGACTAGACTATAGACTAGACTATAGACTAGACTATAGACTAGACTATAGACTAGACTATAGACTAGACTATAGACTAGACTATAGACTAGACTATAGACTAGACTATAGACTAGACTATAGACTAGACTATAGACTAGACTATAGACTAGACTATAGACTAGACTATAGACTAGACTATAGACTAGACTATAGACTAGACTATAGACTAGACTATAGACTAGACTATAGACTAGACTATAGACTAGACTATAGACTAGACTATAGACTAGACTATAGACTAGACTATAGACTAGACTATAGACTAGACTATAGACTAGACTATAGACTAGACTATAGACTAGACTATAGACTAGACTATAGACTAGATATAGACTAGACTATAGACTAGACTATAGACTAGACTATAGACTAGACTATAGACTAGACTATAGACTAGACTATAGACTAGACTATAGACTAGACAATAGACTAGACTATAGACTAGACTATAGACTAGACTATAGACTAGACTATAGACTAGACTATAGACTAGACTATAGACTAGACTATAGACTAGACTATAGACTAGACTATAGACTAGACTATAGACTAGACTATAGACTAGACTATAGACTAGACTATAGACTAGACTATAGACTAGACTATAGACTAGACTATAGACTAGACTATAGACTAGACTATAGACTAGACTATAGACTAGACTATAGACTAGACTATAAACTAGACTATAGACTAGACTATAGACTAGACTATAGACTTGACTATAGACTAGACTATAGACTAGACTATAGACTTGACTATAGACTAGACTATAGATTAGACTATAGACTTGACTATAGACTAGACTAGACTATAGACTAGACTATAGACTAGACTATAGACTAGACTATAGACTATAGACTAGACTATAGACTAGACTATAGACTAGACTAGACTATAGACTAGACTATTGACTAGACTATAGACTTGACTATAGACTAGACTATAGACTTGACTATAGACTAGACTATAGACTAGACTATAGACTTGACTATAGACTAGACTATAGACTAGACTATAGACTAGACTATAGACTAGACTATAGACTAGACTATAGACTATAGACTAGACTATAGACTAGACTATAGACTAGACTAGACTATAGACTAGACTAGACTATAGACTAGACTATTGACTAGACTATAGACTAGACTATAGACTAGACTATAGACTAGACTATAGACTAGACTATAGACTAGACTATAGACTAGACTATAGACTAGACTATAGACAAGACTATAGACTAGACTATAGACTAGACTATAGACTAGACTATAGACTAGACTATAGACTAGACTATAGACTAGACTATAGACTAGACTATAGACTACACTATAGACTAGACTATAGACTAGACTATAGACTACACTATAGACTAGACTATAGACTACACTATAGACTAGACTATAGACTAGACTATAGACTAGACTATAGACTAGACTATAGACTAGACTAGACTAGACTATAGACTAGACTATAGACTAGACTATAGACTAGACTATAGACTAGACTATAGACTAGACTATAGACTAGACTATAGACTAGACTATAGACTAGACTATAGACTAGACTATAGACTAGACTATAGACTAGACTATAGACTAGACTATAGACTAGACTATAGACTAGACTATAGACTAGACTATAGACTAGACTATAGACTAGACTATAGACTAGACTATGGACTAGACTATAGACTAGACTATAGACTAGACTATAGACTAGACTATAGACTAGACTATAGACTAGACTATAGACTAGACTATAGACTAGACTATAGACTAGACTATAGACTAGACTATAGACTAGACTATAGACTAGACTATAGACTAGACTATAGACTAGACTATAGACTAGACTATAGACTAGACTATAGACTAGACTATAGACTAGACTATAGACTAGACTATAGACTAGACTATAGACTAGACTATAGACTAGACTATAGACTTGACTATAGATTAGACTATAGACTAGACTATAGACTAGACTATAGACTAGACTATAGACTAGACTATAGACTAGACTATAGACTAGACTATAGACTAGACTATAGGCTAGACTATAGACTAGACTATAGGCTAGACTATAGACTAGACTATAGACTAGACTATAGACTAGACTATAGACTAGACTATAGACTAGACTATAGACTAGACTATAGACTAGACTATAGACTAGACTATAGACTAGACTATAGACTAGACTATAGACTAGACTATAGACTAGACTATAGACTAGACTATAGACTAGACTATAGACTAGACTATAGACTAGACTATAGACTAGACTATAGACTAGACTATAGACTAGACTATAGACTAGACTATAGAGACTATAGACTAGACTAGACTAGACTATAGACTAGACTATAGACTAGACTATAGACTAGACTATAGACTAGACTATAGACTAGACTATAGACTAGACTATAGACTAGACTATAGACTAGACTATAGACTAGACTATAGACTAGACTATAGACTAGACTATAGACTAGACTATAGACTAGACTATAGACTAGACTATAGACTAGACTATAGACTAGACTATAGACTAGACTAGACTAGACTATAGACTAGACTATAGACTAGACTATAGACTAGACTATAGACTAGACTATAGACTAGACTATAGACTAGACTATAGACTAGACTATAGACTAGACTATAGACTAGACTAGACTAGACTATAGACTAGACTATAGACTAGACTATAGACTAGACTATAGACTAGACTATAGACTAGACTATAGACTAGACTATAGACTAGACTATAGACTAGACTATAGACTAGACTATAGACTAGACTATAGACTAGACTATAGACTAGACTATAGACTAGACTATAGACTAGACTATAGACTAGACTATAGACTAGATCATAGACTAGACTATAGACTAGACTATATACTAGACTATATACTAGACTATATACTAGACTATAGACTAGACTATAGACTAAACCATAAAATAGGCTAGACTATAGACTAGACTATAGACCTACACTGTAGAATACTATAGTGTTATAGAATACTATAAGTTCCGTAGTCACGAACTTTCCGTAGACTACGAACTTTTCTATAGTCAAGACTATGGACTGTTATATAGACTATGTTAAAGGCAAGACTATGTACTGTTCTATAGTCAAGACTATTAACAGTTCTATATTTACTACTATAGAATGCTCTATAGTGAAGAATTTGACTGTTCTATATTATAGATTGTTCTTTAGCGAAGACCAGAAACTTTTTATAGTCAAATTTAATATAAGAAAAAATAAATTTAATAAATCAAATAAATTTCGAATCACTCACCTTTTTCTTTTGTTGTTTAAATAACGGTATTCTTTCGTTTGCATTTTCTTGCATACAAAAACAATATTACCATTTTGCTACACATACATACAAACATATTTACATACATATTCAGCAACTCTTTATCTTTAACTTTTTTTTCATTATTTCTTACACTTTTTCCCCTCAGACTTTTTTCAAATTTTTTTCTTTCCAAACTCTTCATCTATTCCCTTTGATTAACGCTTTCACATCATTTAACAAAACGAATGGCCCGACAAAAGAAAACCGGCGCTCGGCCTAACAAAATTGCATTGAATTTTTGGCAAATTTTAAAACACTTTATAAAACTAATAATTTAACACTTTTTTATGAACATTTTTCCATAACGGCATTTATATACAATTTTCAACAAAAGTTTTTAAATATTAACAATTAATTAACGTTTTACGTTAATTTAAACAGGACTATTGACACTAAACAGCCGAACACTTTAGAAATTTTTAGCAACTAAAGAAGAAGACAAATAACTAAAGAAACAAATGGTAATAGAACTTGTCATTGTTGTTGTTATTATTACTATACTCCCTTTAAAGAGCAAATATCTAATAACAATAACAACAACTGCAACAAGTGTTGGTTGTTTTTTGTTATTGTTCCATTTCATTAGTTTTCTTAATATTTCTAAAGTGTTCGGTTGTTTACAGTTAATAATACTATTTAAATTAAGCTAAAACGTTTAATAATTGTTAATAATAAAATATTTTTGTTGAATAATATTAAACTAATGTTAATTTATATCGGTATTTAAAAATATTTATGAAAAACGTTTTAGAAATTAGTGAAAAAAGTGTAAATTTAATAAAAATGTGAATTTTGCCAAATTTGTTAAGACAATTGTTAGAAGGCGGTCATTGTTTCATGGTTTCCAGGGCTATTAATTAATTGTTAATAATAAAATATTTTTGTTGTATAATATTAAACAAATGTTAATTTATATCGGTATTTAAATTATTTATGAAAAACGTTTTAGAAATTAGTGAAAAAAGTGTTAGAAAATTTTATAAAAATGTGGAATTCGCCAAATTTGTTAAGGCAATTGATAGAAGGTGGTCATTGTTTCTTGGTTTCCAGGGCTATTCGTATGCATCCAAACACGAGGGGAAGTGTAAGTAGGGAAATATATTAGTAAATCATTAATATGTGGTTGTTATTTCATTATTACAATTATTTAAAGAAGAAATTGTATGTGAGGAAAATGTAATTATTGTGTTTTAGCTGTGAAATAAGGAGACAACAACAACAACTAAAATAAAGGTAAGTAATCTACATATATACATACCAGGCATGGAAAATTGAAATTTTGAAATAGTACTAACATAAAACAAAAATAGTACTTTTTAGGTTTTAAAGTACTAAACTAATTTTTTATTGGAATATGAACACGACAAGACTATTGACTATACTATAGACTAGACTATAGACTATACTATAGACTAGACTATAGACTAAACTATAGACTAGACTATAGACTATGTAGAATATAAACTAGAATATAGACTCGAATACAGACTAAACTGTATACTAAACTATAGAGTAGACTAGACTATAAACTAGAATATAGACTAGACTATAAACTAGACTATAGACTATAGACTAGACTATAGACTAGACTATAAACTAGATTATAGACTAGGCTAGACTAGACTATAGACTAGAATATAGACTATAAACTAGAGTTTAGAGTATAATATAGACTATACTATATATTAGGCTATAGACTAGACTTGACTACAGACTGCACTAAAAATCCGGGTCCGATACATGTTCAAATAAACTTTCGTGTCGAAATCATATTTCGACATCCAAATTAATCTAAAACTTGTCAGATATCGAATGCAATCAATTCAAATAGAAAATTTTTCAAATTTATTCGATCGTGAATTCGAAAAAATCCAATTTTCTCTGAAAATTCAAAGTTTCACCTAAAATCTAAATTTTATAAATGTGAATGTGTGTTTATTTGTTTGTGGGCTTGTGGCTTTGTTTTTTGAAGTATATAGACCCCTAAACGGCTGGACGGATTTTCTGGAAATTTTCACAGTGTTTTTGTATATGTCTGGAAGGAATTATAGGCTATGTTTTATTTTGATATTTCAAGTAAGCAAAGTGCCACGCCCACATACATAGTAAGTATTAAAAGTAGTTTATTTTAGAAACTGCTACAGCTAGAGTCCTATAATTTTGTATGGACAACTTTGACATCCATATGAACACCTGTGGGTAAAATGGGCGGAGTGGGTACAGTGGGCGTGGCACTTCATATATAGAGAAAATATTGTATAGTATTTCTGAGAAAATATATAAGTTTGAGTCCTCAAATTTTGTGTAAATTGGCGGATTAGCAATAGGGAAACTCTTAGAGTTAAAATCCTCAAAGTTTGCAAGAACAACTTTAACATCTATGTGAACTACAACAGGTAGAAGACCTCAACCGTAGCACAAGTTGCATTAGAATCAATATGAACATTTGGTTTATGAATAAGTCGACTAGAAAGAGTGGGCGTGGATCCTCCCATATATAATAAATGCTAAAAGTCGGAAATCTGGCAATATAAGCATAACAATAAAAAATGTAGATAGGAATATGGGTTTTAGCGTTGCGAAGCACACTGGGTAAGCTAGTTTTCAATAAAAAATTGTTATTTCACTAAATTCCCAATTTTCACCATAAATCCGACTTTCGCATTAAAATACAAATTTTCACCTAAAATCCAAATTTTCACCAAAATCTCTTAAATCTTAAAACTCTTATTTCACTAAAATTCCAAGTTTTCATTACAAATCCGACTTTTTGAAAGAATCTAAATTTTCACTACAATCTCTGAATTTGAAAATCTTATTTCACTAAAATTCCAATTTTTCACTTTTCATTATCCAAATTTTCAAATCCAAATTTTCACCAAAAATAAAAGTTTTCACTAATATCCAATTTTTTACAAAAATTCGAATTTGAATCTGTTATTTCACTAATTTTCACTATAAATCCGTCTTTTCACTAAAATATTCAAAATTTTCACAAAAAAATCTAACTTTTCACTTAAAATTCGATTTTCCAGTAAAAATGCAAATTTTCACTATAAATCTTAATTTTTCACTTAAAATCCAAAAAAAAAATTGTTAAAATTTCAATATAACTCAAATCTTTCACTAAAAATCCAATTTTTCACTAAAAAATCACCAAAAATGTAAATTTTTACTAAAAATTCAAATTTTCACTAAAATTTTATATTTCACCAAATATCCAAATTCTCATTTAAAATCACCAAAAATCTAAATTTTTTACAAAAAATCCTACTATTCACTTAAAATCTTATATTTCACTATAAATCAAAAATTTTCACTAAAAAATCTAAATTTTTTGCCAAAAATCAACATTTTCACTAAAAATTCTAATTTAAACTAAAAATTTAACTTTAAACTTAAAATGAGTAAAAAAAGATCTAAAATTTCAATGGAGATCCTTGATCGATTTTATAATTATTAATAAAATGGCTTTATTTTCGTTATTTTTTTAAATATATAGATTTTTTTTTTAATTTTTATTTAATTTTTTTCTTTTTTGTTTCTAATATTTTCTAGGAGTGTAAACTTAATAATAAACAATATACATAAAGTTTTGATCTTTTTCGTTTGTTTTTAACGTGAGTGAAAGCGTGAGTGAAAAAAACTTTTAGTAGTGAGTATAAAAGTGAGTGATTTTGCTCGTATAACAAATAATTTAGCTTAAACTTTAAAATGAAGTAAAAAAATATATATAAATTTATAAATGTTTTAATAGTTAATTTATCGCTATAAGAAACTAAAACTTAAATAACAAGTAAATTAGTTTTTGTTTTTGTATTTGTAATAATGGTGGTACAAAAGGTGAAAGAAAAAAATATAAATTTAAAGAAATTTGTATAAAATAATGAAGCTGTGTTATAAGGGAAATGCCTTAAATTGAAATGTTTTGTTTTAATTTCTATAAATATTTCTTTTTTTTTCAGTTAATAGTTATAGTTACAAAACAAAAATTCGTTGATTTACTTGCATTACAGTTAATTCAAAAGACTTTAGACTTTTGAGTACAAATATTAAGGAAAATACACCATAGATTACACAACATTCATTATAATTATTGTTATTACATATTAATAATATTAAGTTTAGGTTTTCTTTTTATTTAAATTTAATATTAAAGAATTCGTTTAATTATTGTCAGTCTTAGAAATTAATAGTTGTTGTTGTTTGGTTTTCTTGTTGAGTAAACTAGAGTAAGTGTTTGTTTAAAGAGTATTTTATAAGTTGCTTTTAAGAGTTTGTTATCTAATGAGTGAAGTGATGAAATGTTTATATTGTTCTTGTGAGTTTTATTGTTTTGATTATATTTTTGGCATAAGCTATAAAAAAGTTGTATAAAAAAAAAATCAAACAGAATTAAGACACATAAATTATTTGCTATAATAATTAGCCTACTAAAGCCTACTTGTTTAATATTTAATATCTAATCAAAAAAGAAAGAAAACAACAAATTATTATACCTTGGCCGGTTATAATTTCCCTTACTTTAAAGTACTTGTTTGAAATAGGATCCTTTAAAATTCTATTCAAAAGACATTAAATTAATGGGCAAAGTTTTCGGTGTACGATTCTGTTGTAGGGCCAATTTACAAATAGTACTACACCACAGTTGTGTGGTTTGAGGACTATCGGTACGAAACTTGTATATGGTACCCAAGGTACGATGATACAATTCAAAGGTATTCTTATGTTTCGGATTGTCAATGACTTGAGCAAACCAACCCTCTAGGGGACACACCTTACAGGGTTCTCGCTTAAAGTCATTACGTTCACTGCCCTTAAATGATTTGGGTGGAAAGTACACTAAAGAATTGGCCCATATTTGCAACCAATAACGTTGCCAAGACGCTACCGCTGGTTTACGTCCTTCTTTCTGTACCGTTTTACGTCTGACACAACCCTGCAAAGAGTTTGTCTCATCTGTGGGTATATGGAGGTTATTAACATCATGCAAGTGACATGCTATAACCTCATTATTATCGCTTAAATTAATGTGTATACTGCCATTGGGAGTACCGCTGCCACATTGTGGCTGTTCCAATACAGAATCATCTAGTAGATGCCGTTGCTGCAACTGTTGACTTAAAGCACTGTGATCATGATAATGGGCATCATAGCAGGCACCATTTTGCCCTGCTACAGCATCATTGGCAATATTTGTCTTACCGAAAATGCTGTAAAGAAAATTTAGAATAAAATCATGATAAATTAACGTGTATTTATGTTTTATTTAATAAGCTGTTAAAATAATGAAAAAGCTTAGATACGTAAGTAGATTTTTAGTATTTGTTTAAGTAGTTAAAAATTATTGAAAACTTATTAAAAGGAGGGGCAAATAATTTGTAAAACTTAAAAACAGTTTGGGTGTGATTGGGGGAAAACAACTTTTCTACAATAAAGATCTATTGTTGTCAAACAACACAAAAAAGTAAATAAAATAGAAATAATTAGAACTGAACTAGAACTGAACTAGAACTGAACTAGAACTGAACTAGAACTGAACTAGAACTGAACTAGAACTGAACTAGAACTGAACTAGAACTGAACTAGAACTGAACTAGAACTGAACTAGAACTGAACTAGAACTGAACTAGAACTGAACTAGAACTGAACTAGAACTGAACTAGAACTGAACTAGAACTGAACTAGAACTGAACTAGAACTGAACTAGAACTGAACTAGAACTGAACTAGAACTGAACTAGAACTGAACTAGAACTGAACTAGAACTGAACTAGAACTGAACTAGAACTGAACTAGAACTGAACTAGAACTAGAACTGAACTAGAACTAGAACTGAACTAGAACTGAACTAGAACTGAACTAGAACTGAACTAGCACTGAACTAGAACTGAACTAGAACTGAACTAGAACTGAACTAGAACTGAACTAGAACTGAACTAGAAAACTGAGAACTGAACTAGAACTGAACTAGAACTGAACTAGAACTGAACTAGAACTGAACTAGAACTGAACTAGAACTGAACTAGAACTGAACTAGAACTGAACTAGAACTGAACTAGAACTGAACTAGAACTGAACTAGAACTGAACTAGAACTGAACTAGAACTGAACTAGAACTGAACTAGAACTGAACTAGAACTGAACTAGAACTGAACTAGAACTGAACTAGAACTGAACTAGAACTGAACTAGAACTGAACTAGAACTGAACTAGAACTGAACTAGAACTGAACTAGAACTGAACTAGAACTGAACTAGAACTGAACTAGAACTGAACTAGAACTGAACTAGAACTGAACTAGAACTGAACTAGAACTGAACTAGAACTGAACTAGAACTGAACTAGAACTGAACTAGAACTGACAGAACTGAATAGAACTGAACTAGAACTGAACTAGAACTGAACTAGAACTGCACGAGAACGGAACTAGAACTGAACTAGAACTGAACTAGAACTGAACTAGAACTGAACTAGAACTGAACTAGAACTGAAACTAGAACTGAACTAGAACTGAACTAGAACTGAACTAGAACTAGGAACTAGAACTGAACTAGAACTGAACTAGAACTGAACTAGAACTGAACTAAAGAACTGAAGTACTAGAACTGAACTAGAACTGAACTAGAACTGACTAGAACTGAACTAGAACTGAACTAGAACTGAACTAGAACTGAACTAGAACTGAAACTAGAACTGAACTAGAACTGAACTAGAACTGAACTAGAACTGAACTAGAACTGAACTAGAACTGAACTAGAACTGAACTAGAACTGAACTAGAACTGAACTAGAACTGAACTAGAACTGAACTAGAACTGAACTAAGAACTGAACTAGAACGGAAACTAGAACTGAACTAGAAACTGAACTAGAACTGAACTACGGAAACTAGAACTGAAACTAGAACTGAACTAGAACTGAACTAGAACTGAACTAGAACTGAACTAGAACTGAACTAGAACTGAACTAGAACTGAACTAGAACTGAACTAGAACTGAACTAGAACTGAACTAGAACTGAACTAGAACTGAACTAGAACTGAACTAGAACTGAACTAGAACTGAACTAGAACTGAACTAGAACTGAACTAGACTGAACTAGAACTGAACTAGAACTGAACTAGAACTGAACTAGAACTGAACTAGAACTGAACTAGAACTGAACTAGAACTGAACTAGAACTGAACTAGAACTGAACTAGAACTGAACTAGAACTGAACTAGAACTGAACTAGAACTGAACTAGAACTGAACTAGAACTGAACTAGAACTGAACTAGAACTGAACTAGAACTGAACTAGAACTGAACTAGAACTGAACTAGAACTGAACTAGAACTGAACTAGAACTGAACTAGAACTGAGAACTGAACTAGAACTGAACTAGAACTGAACTAGAACTGAACTAGAACTAGAACTGAACTAGAACTGAACTAGAACTGAACTAGAACTGAACTAGAACTGAACTAGAACTGAACTAGAACTGAACTAGAACTGAACTAGAACTGAACTAGAACTGAACTAGAACTGAACTAGAACTGAACTACTAGAATTGAACTAGAACTGAACTAGAACTGAACTAGAACTCAACTAGAACTAGATCTGGAACAGAACGAGAACTCAAGTAGAACTGAACTAGAACTGAACTAGATTTGAAATAATGACATATAATTTATGAGAAATCATATTCGGAAACACTTTTCTCCTTTACATTGACTCTATTTTAGAATTAAGAAATTATCTTTACTCAATGATGAAATGCAGTTAAATGAAATCATTAAAAGTGTACAACATATAAAGAGCAGCACATTACTAAAACAAAAGATTTGATAAAATTACGTTCGTCTAATTTATTACTCCACATATCTAAAAATCTATTAAGTGGGTTATTTGAGACGAGGATGCAGGCAATATTGCAGTATTATTAAATTAAAAACAAAACAGGCAAGCAACCGAAAAAGGATAAAAATTAGGAAAATTAAATGAAATTCTTAAAAAAATATTGTTTAATATTTAGCAGCAAACTGATGTATATTGTTAAAGCGCTTCATTAAATCATTTAAATTATTTATTAGTTTTATTATTATTATTATGTTACTAAATTAATTTAGACGTTCTTTTTTTAAGCTGATGACCGGAAACAACTCACCGACAATGACATGGACAACGCTTATGTGTTGCAGTAGCATTGACAACAATGCCAGATTTTGTTAGCATTATAAGTGAGCAATGACACTTTTGTGAAAAATTTCGCGGCAAACTGGTGCTACGAAACCTACATAGTAGATATAGATTAATAGATAAATTATAGTAGAGAGAAGGAAATTAAAATTCAATAATAAAATGAAAAAAAAGCTCACAAATGCACACACGCAGACATAATAAAATTGCAACCGAAAAAATAAAAGAATTATTACGATATTAAAGAAATTTAATTGAAATATATAAATAATGAAAATATTTATAATGAATTAATGAAATTTAAAGTGTAACAATTTGTTGGGTTTACGAAATTTTCACGGAAAAACAAATTTGAGATCCAATAAGTAAGAGGTCGTGGTTGTTTGTTTGGTGGTGATGGTGTATTTAAGTGGAGAGCAGAGATAAAAGGAAGGATAAAAGAAATACGTTTATATTGTGGTATCGAATGATAACGAAGATGATCAATCAATGATTTCTATTTAGGACAATGGAGAAAACTTACTTAGTGCCCAGACTGCGACATTTACGATGACCGGGTATAAATTTAACAGCCGATGAATTTGGTAAACGTACTGAGGCTGAAGTTTTGGCGGGAGATAAATTCAAACAGGCCAAGGCCGGTGTAACAGCATCCACATTAAATGACTCCTTTGAACTGCAAGAAGAAGAGCTGGGAACCAACGGTGAAATGGGTTCTAATTTTAAGGATTTCCTATAAAAACAACACATTAATCTGTTAATGATTTATCTCTTCCTTAAAACGAGTTTAACTTACTTGTATTGTTCCTCCTCAAATATATTTTGCAATTCTTCTATATACCTAATGGAGGTTAAATACTTTTGTGTTGCCTCTACCGGTTGTATTTGCTTATAATTCGATTCCTGATAATTGGCTATAACTCTTAAAATATTATTCATACGTATACGTCGAGATTCTGGTTCAATACCATCTTTCTGTGGATAAGCCAAATCGATGTATATTAGATCGGTGAGAAATAAACCCAAATAGGGTATACAAGGTAAACGTAAACTTTCCAAATAGGCTCGCAAATTTTCCCAATTATTTTGATCGCTGAAAATATCACTCAGACGTTCGTAGCTTTGTTTATCCTTTTTCGCTAGACAAGTCCAAGTTTTCTTCAGACGATAAATGCTGGCACTTTGCATGGCCGATATAATGGCAAACAGAGAGTGTAGATTATTAAGTTCGTGTAGTTTTTTGGCAACCTAGGTGTGGAAAAGGAAGGCAGAGAAGAAATGTATATTAATATAAATTAAACAACTGAGAGCAACTAGAACTGAACTAGAACTGAACTAGAACTGAACTAGAACTGAACTAGAACTGAACTAGAACTGACTAGAACTGAACTAGAACTGAACTAGAACTGAACTAGAACTGAAACTAGAACTGAACTAGAACTGAACTAGAACTGAACTAGAACTGAACTAGAACTGAACTAGAACTGAACTAGAACTGAACAAGAACTAGAACTAGAAAACCTGAACTAGAACTGAATTAGAACTGAACTAACTGAACTAGAACTGAACTAGAACTGAACTAGAACTGAACTAGAACTGAACTAGAACTGACTAGAACTGAACTAGAACTGAACTAGAACTGAACTAGAACTGAACTAGAACTGAACTAGAACTGAACTAGAACTGAACTAGAACTGAACTAGAACTGAACTAGAACTGAACTATAACTGAACTAGAACTGAACTAGAACTGAACTAGAACTGAACTCGAACTGAACTAGAACTGAACTAGAACTGAACTAGGAACGAACTAGAACTGAACTAGAACTGAACTAGAACTGGAACTAGAACTGACTAGAACTGAACTAGAACTGAAACTAGAACTGAACTAGAACTGAACGAGAACGAACTAGAACTGAACTTTACTGAACTAGAACTGAACTCGAAACTGAACTAGAACTGAACTAGGGAAATGAACTAGAAACTGAAACTGAACTGAAACTAGAACTGAACTAGAACTGAACTAGAAATGAATAGAACTGAACTAGAACTGAACTAGAAACTGAAAAGAACTGAACTAGAACTGAACTAGAACTGAACTAGAACTGAAGTAGAACTGACCTAGAATGAACTAGAAACTTGAACTAGAAATGAACTAGACTGAACTAGAACTGAACTAGAACTGACTAGAACTTGAAACTAGAACTGGAACTAGAACTGAACTAGAACTGAACTAGAACTTTGTACTAGAACTGAACTAGAACTGAACTAGAACTGAACTAGAACTGAACCTAGAAACTGAACTAGAACTGAACTAGAACTGAACTAGAACTGAACTAGAACTGAACTAGAACTGAACTAGAACTGAACTAGAACTGACTAGAACTGAACTAGAACTGAACTAGAACTGAACTAGAACTGAACTAGAACTGAACTAGAACTGAACTAGAACTGAACTAGAACTGAACTAGAACTGAACTAGAACTGAACTAGAAACTGAACTAGAACTGAACTAGAACTGAAACTAGAACTGAACTAGAACTGAACTAGAACTGAACTACTAGAACTGAACTAGAACTGAACTAGAACTGAACTAGAACTGAACTAGAACTGAACTAGAACTGAACTAGAACTGAACTAGAACTGAACTAGAACTGAACTAGAACTGAACTAGAACTGAACTAGAACTGAACTAGAACTGAACTAGAACTGAACTAGAACTGAACTAGAACTGAAACTAGAACTGAACTAGAACTGAACTAGAACTAGAACTAACTAGAACTAGAACTAGAACTAGAACTGAACTAGAACTAGAACTGAACTAGAACTGAACTAGAACTGAACTAGAACTGAACTAGAACTGAACTAGAACTGAACTAGAACTGAACTAGAACTGAAACTAGAACTGAACTAGAACTGAACTAGAACTGAACTAGATCTGAACTAGAACTGAACTAGATCTGAACTAGAACTGAACTAGAACTTAACTAGAACTGAACTAGAACTGAACTAGAACTGAACTAGAACGGATGTAGATCTGAACTAGAACTGAACTAGACCAGTAAATTGTAAACTAAGTAAATTTGGAGTACCTTTATAAAATGCGCCAATATCTCGGCCCTTTGCTTTGGCTGTTCGCCACTAAGGATCTCCTGAACAATCCAAAAAACTGGTGTGATTAAAACGCTTTGTAAATGCAACAATATTCGGTGTAATAACGTGTTTATCTTTTTGGTCCAAGCACAGCTGGTCAATTCATCCGGTTGTATGGCAGCAAAGATAGGAAAGTCCAATAGGGTCAATTGATTGGCTAATTCATCGGCGGGTATACGTAAAGCACTTAAAATAGTAGAATCTAAGGAAGTCTTGCTAGAAGCATGACCGGGCAAGCTATTGGATTTTAAAGAAGGAGGTCCGGAGCTTTACATTAAAAAATACAAATTAATTAAAGAAAAATATAGTTCCTATATCGCAGAATAAAACTTACCCAACCCCGTAGTAGTTACTGGGCGAATCCGGTGAAGAGGAGAAGGCATTTAGGCAACCAATGGAATTTTTACGTCTCGTTCCTTTTATATTTAAAGATTTACTAATATTCTGTTTGTGCGGTGATTCCGCTTCAAATTGAAAACTTTGTGTGGATTGTACGCTGTCTTTACGCTGTCGCACATATGCTATAGTTGCCGCCCCATTAGCGGTGCCATTAACACTGCCATTACTGCCGCCGCTAGAGAAACGTTTCGAATTGCGTAGACCCGCATAAAATCCACTGAAATTATTTTTATTACCCAACGATATATTATCGTAATGATCATCATCGTAACGCTGTTTAGAACGCAAGCGTTGATGATGGTGACGTCTACATGATGAGGCCGGCGATTGATTTACCAAAGGACCACTACCCGTTGAAATATCACTCATAGGTGAAGCTTCCCTGGTAACATTCAAGGGACAATCATCTTGCTGACTACCACCGCCACTGCCAAATTCAACATAACGTAAATTATCATTTGATAATTCTCTCGATATTTCCGAATAACGCATCATGACCAATACAGTTGCTTTTCAATATGCTGCTTTTGTTCTTGTTGTAATTGGCCCTTTCCATTCCAAACACATATTTTTAATGTTGACACATTTATTACAGAATACTCTTCACATATTGTTAATCAAGTACCAGCTTGTACCCATGTTGTTTTGTAAGATTATTTTTGCTTTGTTTGTAGTATTGCTTTTTTATATTTTCAATATTCATTTACATTTCCGTATCTGAAACGATTTCGAAGTGATGTTTGTTTAATAAATAAATTCGTTTATTTCTTTTCTTCTAATAGTTAGGAATTTCGTTTTTCTTGATTTTGTTTATTAAAATTTAAAATAGTTGTTTGCTAAACTAAAATAAAAAACATTTTCAATTTAATAAACGCATTCCAGTATTCTATATGTATTCTAATTAGTTCAGTTTGTATGAAGGAAATTATTTGTATTTCGTGTTCATTTGGTATTTAAAAAAAAAGGCAACGTCATATGATTTTTATCGGCAACATATTATGGCCTCCGTAACCTTCACTAATTACACACTAATTTAAGATCAACCACCAGACACAATTTATTATACACACATTCCAACAAGCATTCACAAAATGTGAGGAGGTTTTTCAACAGAGAGAACAGATTCCATGGAACAGTGTTTAATAGTGAAAAAATTTTAAATGAGAATTTTATTTATTATTTTAGTTTATAGAAAGATTTTGCAGGAAACTAGTTGCTAAAGCGAAAGAGTATCAAAATAGAACTGAACTAGAACTGAACTAGAACTGAACTAGACTAGAACTGAACTAGAACTGAACTAGAACTAGAACTGAACTAGAACTGAACTAGAACTGAACTAGAACTGAACTAGAACTGAACTAGAACTGAACTAGAACTGAACTAGAACTGAACTAGAACTGAACTAGAACTGAACTAGAACTGAACTAGAACTGAACTAGAACTGAACTAGAACTGAACTAGAACTGAACTAGAACTGAACTAGAACTGAACTAGAACTGAACTAGAACTGAACTAGAACTGAACTAGAACTGAACTAGAACTGAACTAGAACTGAACTAGAACTGAACTAGAACTGAACTAGAACTGAACTAGAACTGAACTAGAACTGAACTAGAACTGAACTAGAACTGAACTAGAACTGAACTAGAACTGAACTAGAACTGAACTAGAACTGAACTAGAACTGAACTAGAACTGAACTAGAACTGAACTAGAACTGAACTAGAACTGAACTAGAACTGAACTAGAACTGAACTAGAACTGAACTAGAACTGAACTAGAACTGAACTAGAACTGAACTAGAACTGAACTAGAACTGAACTAGAACTGAACTAGAACTGAACTAGAACTGAACTAGAACTGAACTAGAACTGAACTAGAACTGAACTAGAACTGAACTAGAACTAGAACTGAACTAGAACTGAACTAGAACTGAACTAGAACTGAACTAGAACTGAACTAGAACTGAACTAGAACTGAACTAGAACTGAACTAGAACTGAACTAGAACTGAACTAGAACTGAACTAGAACTGAACTAGAACTGAACTAGAACTGAACTAGAACTGAACTAGAACTGAACTAGAACTGAACTAGAACTGAACTAGAACTGAACTAGAACTGAACTAGAACTAGAACTGAACTAGAACTGAACTAGAACTGAACTAGAACTGAACTAGAACTGAACTAGAACTGAACTAGAACTGAACTGAACTAGAACTGAACTAGAACTGAACTAGAACTGAACTAGAACTGAACTAGAACTGAACTAGAACTGAACTAGAACTGAACTAGAACTGAACTAGAACTGAACTAGAACTGAACTAGAACTGAACTAGAACTGAACTAGAACTGAACTAGAACTGAACTAGAACTGAACTAGAACTGAACTAGAACTGAACTAGAACTGAACTAGAACTGAACTAGAACTGAACTAGAACTGAACTAGAACTGAACTAGAACTGAACTAGAACTAAACTAGAACTGAACTAGAACTGAACTAGTACTAGAACTAGAACTGAACTAGAACTGAACTAGAACTGAACTAGAACTGAACTAGAACTGAACTAGAACTGAACTAGAACTGAACTAGAACTGAACTAGAACTGAACTAGATCTAAACTAGAACTAAACTAGAACTAAACTAGAACTGCTAGAACTATAACCAAATCAGAACTAGATCTTTAAAGAATTTTCAGCCACTCCTATTTCCTAATTATATATATTTTTATAAAATGCCTATTTATGCGCTCTTAACCCCTGTTTATACATTCATACACAATTTTTCTAAAAAAGAATTTTATAATTTTTAATTTCAACTGATGTCATTTCTTTTAGTTTTATTCTTTTTTTCTTCGTAGTGATATAATAAACTGTCTTTATTCCATTTAAATTAATGAAATATGAAATGTTTGCATTTTTATATACAACATTTTTTTAATTTCATAAAAATGAGTAAATTAAATATTTGTTTGAAGGCTTTCTTAGTTTAATCTACAAAGAATTTATACATTGTGGTCAATAAACTATAGTAAATTTGTGGTGAAGTATTTAATGTTTTAAAACAACAACATTGATAAAAAATGTATATAAAATACATTAAAATAATTTCAATATGGGAATTTTATATACTAAGCTACATAGCTATATAGTTTTATATGCTACTGTTTTCAGATATTTGCTTACAAACTACGCTGTGGTAAATTTAGTCAGCTAGTCAGTCAGTCAGTCAGTCATTCAGTCACTCTGTCAGTCATTTTAAGACGCCCATTTTTATCGCGAGGAAAAATAAACATAAAAAAAAATCAAACAACGAATTATACTTAAATTTGTACCGCAAAAAAATTGCGCCAGCAAAATATAATTAAAATAAAAATAAACTCAGAATCATATCAACAAATGTTAAAATAACAAAAAAACCGCTTACGGAAATACATACTATAAAAAAATTTAAGGAAAAAGAAAACAAAACCCAGCAAAAGAAAACATATTACAAATGCTGCTATTTTTTTATTTATCACTTTAAAGGGAAATACCAATTCAGAATGTATTGTAGATGTACGAATATTTTACAATGATAGCAGGCGAACTTTATGCAAAATGGAATTTTAAATCCTAATGAATTGTTTTTTAATCTAATGTTTTGTTTTTATTGTTATTCAAATTAATAAGCTTGAAAACAGTTGTTGATAGATGCGTCAGCTTCAAAGTATCAAGGGTCAGTTTTTTTGGAAGCCTTTATCAATACAATTTTTCTTCTGCCAATACGTAATATTTTGTTGTGCAAAAAAAAGAACTCTATATATTAATGCATTATTTTTATTGGGTCAAAAAACCACTGAAACCACTGGAATTTTTTATAATTTTTGCTATAGGAAAGGGAACTAGAACTGAAATAAAACTGAACTAGAACTGAACTAGAACTGAACTAGAACTGAATTAGAACTGAACTAGAACTGAACTAGAACTGAACTAGAACTGAACTAGAACTGAACTAGAACTGAACTAGAACTGAACTAGAACTGAACTAGAACTGAACTAGAACTGAACTAGAACTGAACTAGAACTGAACTAGAACTGAACTAGAAGTAGAACTGAACTAGAACTGAACTAGAACTGAACTAGAACTGAACTAGAACTGAACTAGAACTGAACTAGAACTGAACTAAAACTGAACTAAAACTGAACTAGAACCGAACTAGAACTGAACTAGAACTGAACTAGAACTGAACTAGAACTGAACTAGAACTGAACTAGAACTGAACTAGAACTGAACTAGAACTGAACTAGAACTGAACTAGAACTGAACTAGAAACTGAACTAGAACTGAACTAGAACTGAACTAGAAACTGAACTAGAACTGAACTAGAACTGAACTAGAACTGAACTAGAACTGAACTAGAACTGAACTAGAACTGAACTAGAACTGAACTAGAACTGAACTAGAACTGAACTAGAACTGAACTAGAACTGAACTAGAACTGACTAGAACTGAACTAGAACTGAACTAGAACTGAACTAGAACTGAACTAGAACTGAACTAGAACTGAACTAGAACTGAACTAGAACTGAACTAGAACTGAACTAGAACTGAACTAGAACTGAACTAGAACTGAACTAGAACTGAACTAGAACTGAACTAGAACTGAACTAGAACTGAACTAGAACTGAACTAGAACTGAACTAGAACTGAACTAGAACTGAACTAGAACTGAACTAGAACTGAACTAGAACTGAACTAGAACTGAACTAGAACTGAACTAGAACTGAACTAGAACTGAACTAGAAACTGAACTAGAACTGAACTGAACTAGAACTGAACTAGAACTGAACTAGAACTGAACTAGAACTGAACTAGAACTGAACTAGAACTGAACTAGAACTGAACTAGAACTGAACTAGAACTGAACTAGAACTGAACTAGAACTGAACTAGAACTGACTAGAACTGAACTAGAACTGAACTAGAACTGAACTAGAACTGAACTAGAACTGAACTAGAACTGAACTAGAACTGAACTAGAACTGAACTAGAACTGAACTAGAACTGAACTGAACTGAACTAAACTGAACTAGAACTGAACTAGAACTGAACTAGAACTAGAACTGAACTAGAACTGAACTAGAACTGAACTAGAACTGAACTAGAACTGAACTAGAACTGAACTAGAACTGAACTAGAACTGAACTAGAACTGAACTAGAACTGAACTAGAACTGAACTAGAACTGAACTAGACTGAACTAGAACTGAACTAGAACTGAACTAGAACTGAACTAGAACTGAACTAGAACTGAACTAGAACTGAACTAGAACTGAACTAGAACTGAACTAGAACTGAACTAGAACTGAACTAGAACTGAACTAGAACTGAACTAGAACTGAACTAGAACTGAACTAGAACTGAACTAGAACTGAACTAGAACTGAACTAGAACTGAACTAGAACTGAACTAGAACTGAACTAGAACTGAACTAGAACTGAACTAGAACTGAACTAGAACTGAACTAGAACTGAACTAGAACTGAACTAGAACTGAACTAGAACTGAACTAGAACTGAACTAGAACTGAACTAGAACTGAACTAGAACTGAACTAGAACTGAAGTAGAACTGAACTAGAACTGAACTAGAACTGAACTAGAACTGAACTAGAACTGAACTAGAACTGAACTAGAACTGAACTAGAACTGAACTAGAACTGAACTAGAATTGAACTAGAACTGAACTAGAACTGAACTAGAACTGAACTAGAACTGAACTAGAACTGAACTAGAACTGAACTAGAACTGAACTAGAACTGAACTAGAACTGAACTAGAACTGAACTAGAACTGAACTAGAACTGAATAGAAGTAGAACTAGAACTGAACTAGAACTGAACTAGAACTGAACTAGAACTGAACTAGAACTGAACTTGAACTGAACTAGAACTGAACTAGAACTGAACTAGAACTGAACTAGAACTGAACTAGAACTGAACTAGAACTGAACTAGAATTGAACTAGAACTGAACTAGAACTGAACTAGAACTGAACTAGAACTGAACTAGAACTGAACTAGAACTGAACTAGAACTGAACTAAAAATGAACTAAAAATGAACTAGAAGTGAAATAGAACTGAACTTGAAGTGAACTAGAACTAAACGATAATGCTGTTATTATCATCTGAGGCTTCAGATTTCTGTATTTAAAGGCTGAGGTAGCTTTGATAATTTGTTTTTTGTTTTAGGTTTCGCTTTATGTCCATAAGGTAAAACCATAGTTTACAGAGGACTGACTTTCCATCATCTCCTCCAAGCCTAATTCTAAATGTTCTGTTCTTGAATAAGAGATTTTAAAACAAGTTCTTAAAGTAAATTATTTGCTGTAATACCGATTTACAAAGATTTTAAACATTTAACCTTTTGTTAAATTGACTTAATAATGCCCTTTATTTTTTATTTTTCAGGTTTAAAAACTACCTTCTGCAAATGTCAAATCAAACGTTTGTTGCTACAGTTTTGAATTCTATAAGAAGTTCATACAAAAACTGTTGTTTTGATAACAATAATTTACAAAAACTAAGAAAAACAACATAATTCCTCGTAATTTAAATAGAATGTCAATCAAAATATATTATAAAAGGCATACTTTACAAACGGTTACAAATTGTTGCTGAATTTTTTTAGTTTCAAACAGTAGGCGTTATGGAAATACGTTTTTTGCATATTAAAAACGTAAATATGTATATGTTTACAATATAGAAAACCACAATCGTATGATGATAATGATGATGATGATGTATTGTCTATATAAAAAAGGTACGTACCAAATTTCTAGTATATTATATTTTGTTTATACATTCGCTGTTTGTATGAATGAATGGATGAATTAAAAGTAGAAAAAGCTGAATATTAAATAAATTGTTTTAACACGTTTCATCCTTCTACACCATCTAATGGCTAGTATGGGCTAATGGATGTGGTGGTGGTGCTGGTTTTAGTAATATCAGTAGTATTATAGTACAAACCAATATTTATACATATGTTTGTGTAAACGTTTGCATTATTAGTGGGGGCTTTTGTTTATTGTTTTTAATTTTATTTAAATTTATTTTACTTATTGTTTTGTACATCTGTCTGTTTGTATGAAAATCTTTAGTATATTCACTGTGTGTTTGTATGTTTTCCTTAAAACAATAGAAAAAAATAACAAAATAACAAAAAAAAATTTACAAAATACTTTCTTGGCTGGGCAAGTTGTTGAAGTAAACATCCATTTAAGATTTTGTACACTATTTTCAGTTTTTTTTTTTTTTTTTTTTCATCCATTTTGGTGTACGTGCATTTAATCTATAGATACAATGGATTTTCAATTTAAATTTTTTGTTCCTTATTTCATAATGCATTAGTTTAATCATTATAGAAATCTCCAAAGCAAAAAAAATCTAAAAATTTATATGTGTTTAGTTTATTAGAGATATATCGCAGAAAAAGCCTTTTAATTGTTTTCTATATATGTACATAACAATTCTTTTTATTTAGTTTTAAATAAAATTAAATTTCTTGCCTTTGTTTCGTATAATCTATTGCATTTTATTTTTCTCATTGGTTAATTTTACGCTGACCTAAACACCATTAAAAATGATTTAGAAAGAAATAAAAATAATTATAATAAATTTTCAAATTAAAAAATTTTATTCACATCACATGTGTGAAAAGAAGTAGGCAAGAGTATGATTACAAAATTTTGCAATTAATTCAATTTTAAAGAAATTTATATGAAAATGTAGTGTGTTTGAGAAGTAATTCATTAATATTTTAAATAATTATATTGCGAGATAAGAAATGCGTTGTCTAGTCTATAGTCTAGTCTATAGTCTAGTCTATAGTCTAGTCTATAGTCTAGTCTATAGTCTAGTCTATAGTCTAGTCTATAGTCTAGTCTATAGTCTAGTCTATAGTCTAGTCTATAGTCTAGTCTATAGTCTAGTCTATAGTCTAGTCTATAGTCTAGTCTATAGTCTAGTCTATAGTCTAGTCTATAGTCTAGTCTATAGTCTAGTCTATCGTCTAGTCTATAGTCTAGTCTATAGTCTAGTCTATAGTCTAGTCTATAGTCTAGTCTATAGTCTAGTCTATAGTCTAGTCTATAGTCTAGTCTATAGTCTAGTCTATAGTCTAGTCTATAGTCTAGTCTATAGTCTAGTCTATAGTCTAGTCTATAGTCTAGTCTATAGTCTAGTCTATAGTTTAGTCTATAGTCTAGTCTAAAGTCTAGTCTATAGTCTAGTCTATAGTCTAGTCTATAGTCTAGTCTATAGTCTAGTCTATAGTCTAGTCTATAGTCTAGTCTAAAGTCTAGTCTAAAGTCTAGTCTAAAGTCTAGTCTAAAGTCTAGTCTAGTCTAGTCTATAGTCTAGTCTATAGTCTAGTCTATAATCTAGTCTATAGTCTAGTCTATAGTCTAGTCTATAGTCTAGTCTATAGTCTAGTCTATAGTCTAGTCTATAGTCTAGTCTATAGTCTAGTCTATAGTCTAGTCTATAGTCTAGTCTATAGTCTAGTCTATAGTCTAGTCTATAGTCTAGTCTATAGTCTAGTCTATAGTCTAGTCTATAGTCTAGTCTATAGTCTAGTCTATAGTCTAGTCTATAGTCTAGTCTTTAGTCTAGTCTATAGTCTAGTCTAGTCTATAGTCTAGTCTATAGTCTAGTCTATAGTCTAGTCTATAGTCTAGTCTAGTCTATAGTCTAGTCTAGTCTAGTCTAGTCTAGTCTATAGTCTAGTCTGGTCTATAGTCTAGTCTAGTCTAGTCTATAGTCTAATCTAGTCTATAGTCTAGTCTGTAGTCTAGTCTATAGTCAAGTCTATAGTCTAGTCTATAGTCTAATCTATAGTCTAATCTATAGTCTAGTCTATAGTCTAGTCTATAGTCTAGTTTATAGTCTAGTCTATAGTCTAGTCTATAGTGTAGTCTATAGTCCAGTCTATAGTCTAGTCTATAGTCTAGTCTATAGTCTAGTCTATAGTCTAGTCTGTAGTCTAGTTGTCTAGTCTATAGTCTAGTCTATAGTCCAGTCTATAGTCTAGTCTATAGTCTAGTCTATAGTCCAGTCTATAGTCTAGTCTATAGTCTAGTCTATAGTCTATGCTATAGTCTAGTCTATAGTCTAGTCTATAGTCTAGTCTATAGTCTAGTCTAAAGTCTAGTCTATAGTCTAGTCTATAGTCTAGTCTATAGTCTAGTCTATAGTCTAGTATAGTCTAGTCTATAGTCTAGTCTATAGTCTAGTCTATAGTCTAGTCTATAGTCTAGTCTATAGTCTAGTCTATAGTCTAGTCTATAGTCTAGTCTATAGTCTAGTCTATAGTCTAGTCTATAGTCTAGTCTATAGTCTAGTCTAGTCTAGTCTATAGTCTAGTCTATAGTCTAGTCTATAGTCTAGTCTATAGTCTAGTCTATAGTCTAGTCTATAGTCTAGTCTATAGTCTAGTCTATAGTCTAGTCTATAGTCTAGTCTATAGTCTAGTCTATAGTCTAGTCTATAGTCTAGTCTATAGTCTAGTCTATAGTCTAGTCTATAGTCTAGTCTAGTCTAGTCTATAGTCTAAACTATAGTCTAGTCTATAGTCTAGTCTATAGTCTTGTCTATAGTCTAGTCTATAGTCTAGTCTAATCTATAGTTTAATTAGTATAATATAAATCTATTCTTTAGTGCAGAATTTTTAAACCTCTTGATTTAATTGATTAAAACTTTAAAAGTGGATTCTTTATGTAAACAACATAAAATCTAGTTTAACCTGACCTTACCCCAATAAAACACACACACATAAATATTAACAAAAACGTCTATACAAATTGTATGTACAATACTAAACATACATACAAATTTATATGTTCAGCTTTCTTCTATCAGAATCTTTATTTATCGATGGCCCTGAACGCAGACGTTTGTTGTGAAAATAAAAAGTGAAAAATGTAGCACAGGATTATAGAATTTGTGGTTTTTTAAGTAGACATCTTATGTGTAGATAAAGTAAAAATAAAAACAAAATATTGCACTAGTTGCAAAGAAAATATAAAATGTTTTTATTTATTTATTATCACCCCCCAAACATCACACAGAAACGTTTAAAATTAATTTTTCTGCTTGAATGATATGAAAAGAAATGAAAAATTATACATGAATCATTTTAAATACTCTACTCTATTAGTGATAGAGGGTGTTATGCGTTTGTGACGAAATTTGTAACAATCAAATGAACATACACACCCATTTTAATATCCACCTGTCTGTTCAGTAACTCTTTCTGAGTTGATTTAATATTTTCTGTTCCTCTATGTGAACCTTATAATAAAATTCCCAATTTTTGTTATATTTCAATAAAACATTATCAAATACCTATACAGACTTATAATTTTTTTGATTAAAATTGATCCATGATTTTACATTGCTTTCATATATTTCTTTATAGAATATGATTTGAATACTTATAAATTTGCAGATTGTGTAGGAATTGCTATTATAGGACCTATTCTTCTTCTTATAGGGAACCATATGTTCGTTTCAGCTTGACTATAATTTTTCACTTTTAATATTGTTCTTGTTGGTTATATATTTTGTAATCTGGATTACTAGAACATCCTCTGACATTTAACTTTTTGTCATGGTAGTGCTTGGTTGCGTTTTCTCCAATATCAAAAAAAAATAAATAAACTATAATTAAACATGCCAGCAGTTTGCTGACTTTGCCACTAGTCTATAAATAAATTTCTTTCCAACAAACAATTTTAAATTAAACATTAAGCGCCCAAGGCGGTGTTAACTAATTTTGTATATTTAATTTTTCTTGACTTTTTCATTATATATGCTATGAAAAGCAAAGAAATTTGTAATAAATAAAAGGCAAAAAACCAATAAACAACTTTGTTATTTGCACACTCACCCCTAATATTAAATATTTTGTATTTTCTTTTCGACTGAACACTGGGAACAAATAAAATCATTTAGTAGGGATACAAGGATTTTTTGTTGGTTTATTTTAACACATTCTTTTATTTATACCACACAAACTAATATTTATTTCATTTTTTATTTAAATATTTTGTTATATTTCAGTAATTATTAAATTTTTATTAAAATTTTCTCAAACACACACGGACTATTTTTTTACAATACCAGCGAAAAGGAAAATTACCGATTGTCTGTCATTTTTTCCATCACATTGATAGTTACAGTGATACCAAGTTTTGAAATTATAACAAACAAACTTGGCACAACTTTTTCATTAAATTGTGTAAATTTCTGATAACAGTGGATTTTGTTAAGTTCGTTACACAAACATGCATATGTATATATTCCTTACCGTAAGAATGTTATATCTGTGGTAAGGATTTTCCTGCAATATCCCTCCCTAGGAGTAGTTCGTTACAAACTTATAAAAAAATGATTTTTGCTCAGACTCTGTAAAATTACTGAAATTTCAGGGATGTATTTTTTGGTTTATGTATTTAGGAATGTTGCCAGTTATTTAAGTATTGGCTAAAAATTCCGTTATATTTGAATATTGTAATATTTTAAACCTTCTACATTATAGTTCTATAGTTAGACTTCTCAACTTTGTAATTTATGCAAAGACTGTAGTCTAGTCTATAGTCTAGTCTACAGTCTAGTCTACAGTCTAGGCTACAGTCTAGTCTACAGTCTAGTCTACAGTCTAGTCTACAGTCTAGTCTATAGTCTACAGTCTAGTCTATAGTCTACAGTCTAGTCTACAGTCTAGTCTATAGTCTACAGTCTAGTCTACAGTCTAGTCTATAGTCTAGTCTATAGTCTAGTCTATAGTCAGTCTATAGTCTAGTCTATAGTCCAGTCTATAGTCTAGTCTATAGTCCAGTCTATAGTCTCAGTCTATAGTCTAGTCTATAGTCTAGTCTATAGTCAGTCGTATAGTCTAGTCTATAGTCTAGTCTATGTCTAGTCTATAGTCTAGTCATTAGTCTAGTCTCTATAGTCTAGTCTATAGTCTAGTCTATAGTCTAGTCTATAGGTCTAGTCTATAGTCTAGTCTATAGTCTAGTCTATAGTCTAGTCTATAGTCTAGTCTATAGTCTAGTCTATAGTCTAGTCTATAGTCTAGTCTATAGTCTAGTCTATAGTCTAGTCTATAGTCTAGTCTATAGTCTAGTCTATAGTCTAGTCTATAGTCTAGTCTATAGTCTAGTCTATAGTCTAGTCTATAGTCTAGTCTATAGTCTAGTCTACGTCTAGTCTATAGTCTACAGTCTAGTCTATAGTCTAGTCTAGTCTATAGTCTAGTCTATAGTCTAGTCTATAGTCTAGTCTATAGTTCTAGTCTATAGATCTAGTCTATAGTCTAGTCTATAGTCTAGTCTATAGTCTAGTCTATAGTCTAGTCTATAGTCTAGTCTATAGTCTAGTCTATAGTCTAGTCTATAGTCTAGTCTATAGTCTAGTCTATAGTCTAGTCTATAGTCTAGTCTATAGTCTAGTCTATAGTCTAGTCTATAGTCTAGTCTATAGTCTAGTCTATAGTCTAGTCTATAGTCTAGTCTATAGTCTAGTCTATAGTCTAGTCTATAGTCTAGTCTATAGTCTAGTCTATAGTCTAGTCTATAGTCTAGTCTATAGTCTAGTCTATAGTCTAGTCTATAGTCTAGTCTATAGTCTAGTCTATAGTCTAGTCTATAGTTAGTCTATAGTCTAGTCTATAGTCTAGTCTATAGTCTAGTCTATAGTCTAGTCTATAGTCTAGTCTATAGTCTAGTCTATAGTCTAGTCTATAGTCTAGTCTATAGTCTAGTCTATTGTCTAGTCTATAGTCTAGTCTATAGTCTAGTCTATAGTCTAGTCTATAGTCTAGTCTATAGTCTAGTCTATAGTCTAGTCTATAGTCTAGTCTATAGTCTAGTCTATAGTCTAGTCTATAGTCTAGTCTATAGTCTAGTCTATAGTCTAGTCTATAGTCTAGTCTATAGTCTAGTCTATAGTCTAGTCTATAGTCTAGTCTATAGTCTAGTCTATAGTCTAGTCTATAGTCTAGTCTATAGTCTAGTCTATAGTCTAGTCTATAGTCTAGTCTATAGTCTAGTCTATAGTCTAGTCTATAGTCTAGTCTATAGTCTAGTCTATAGTCTAGTCTATAGTCTAGTCTATAGTCTAGTCTATAGTCTAGTCTATAGTCTAGTCTATAGACTAGTCTATAGTCCAGTCTATAGTCTAGTCTATAGTCTAGTCTATAGTCCAGTCTATAGTCTAGTCTATAGTCTAGTCTATAGTCTAGTCTATAGTCTAGTCTATAGTCTAGTCTATAGTCTAGTCTATAGTCTAGTCTATAGTCTAGTCTATAGTCTAGTCTATAGTCTAGTCTATAGTCTAGTCTATAGTCTTGTATATAGTCTTAGTCTATTAGTCTGGTCTATAGTTTAGTCTATAGTATAGTCTATTAGTCTAGTCTATAGTCTAGTCTATAGTCTAGTCTATAGTCTAGTCTATAGTCTAGTCTATAGTCTAGTCTATAGTCTAGTCTATAGTCTAGTCTATAGTCTAGTCTATAGTCTAGTCTATAGTCTAGTCTATAGTCTAGTCTATAGTCTAGTCTATAGTCTAGTCTATAGTCTAGTCTATAGTCTAGTCTATAGTCTAGTCTATAGTCTAGTCTATAGTCTAGTCTATAGTCTAGTCTATAGTCTAGTCTATAGTCTAGTCTATAGTCTAGTCTATAGTCTAGTCTATAGTCTAGTCTATAGTCTAATCTATAGTCTTATCTATAGTCTAAGTATACTATATTTCGACTACGAGCAAGTATTCCTCTTCTCCCCTTACCACCCTTATCAACAAGCTCTAAAACTTGTGTCAAGAAATTTTATCGTTTTTAAACTGTTCCTAGTCAATCACTGATTAAATAAACGCTTGAGTTGTCATCACTTACAAACACAATATTGCCATATGAACAAAACTGCCTGTCAATGCCAAACTAACAATTCGCAATTAACAACGAAACAAATTGTGGACAATTAAAATAAAAACGTTTTTAATTATTTTTAGGTAAGTTATTTTATATTTATTTCTGGGATTTATTGTGTGTGTGTATATACATAAATAAATTTATTTGTTTACATTATTCTTTAGGTTTTCTTCGATTTTTTTGTAGATTTATAATTTCTTTTTTGTATAATTTATAATTTCTTTTTATTTTTTTATCATTTCACAATTATTTAGTATGTATATATGTATGTATACCTCTTTATGATCATATTTATATATATGTAAGTATATATATTTATGTATAATTAGATATATAATTTTTTGTTGTTGTTTTTATAGGTATATTTATATAATTTTATTTATTTATATTTTCTGCACAAAGATATATATATATAATATATGTAGTTATTTATGTATATGTTATGTAATTTTTTTTAATAATTTTGTTAAACAAAATTTATTTTTAAAGAAAATAATTAAATTATTTTATTTATAATTACTAACAAATATTTATTAATTTTTATAAAACGACCAATAATTTTGCAAATATATAAAGTTAAATGTTGTTTTATTATAATTTTTTGGAAAAAAAAATGAAAAAAAAAACAAACAGAAAAGCTTAAAAAAATGTTGTTAAAAACCAAAAGTAATAATTTATATTTACAATAAATTTTATAAATGTTTTACCTTTTTTTGTCTAGTCTGAGTTTTGTTCACTTTTTTTTTCATTTTTAAAACTTTTCAGGATTATCAATTATCGGTTTTTTTATTTAAATTTTAGAAATTCTACTATTTTAAGCTTCTTTTTTTAGGGTTTAACGGTTTAAAACACCTGTTGATATTGTCTTTGAGCGTTTTTTTATACAATTTAAACAATTAATTTGTTTGTATGTTTTTTTTGGAAAATTTTTTAAATTTTGACAAAAAATTTCTTATATTTAAAGTTTTCTTTTTATTAGTTTCTCTAATTAACAATCATTTTGAATTGATTTTCTTTAACAGTTTTGAGTAGAAATTAGTTGGGGTTTTTGGTAATATTTATCAACAAGCTTATGTCTTTTCTTTCAGTTCTATTACACTAGTTATTTTCTTATAAAGTTTTTTTTTATAACAGTTTGGTTGCCTTTATAACACTTATTTGGTTTGTTTATAACAGTCATTTAATAAATTAAAAATGAAAACTAAAATATATTTTTTTTAAAATGGTTTTGTTTTTTCATAAATTTTTAATAAAAACAGTTTAAAATAATTATTTGTATAGATTTTTTTTTTTTTTGAAAAAGAAATTGAATCGTGTGGAAAATTGACACAGATGTTTTTTTTAATTTCGTAGTATTTTTTTTTTTAATTAATAGTTATTACAAATCACTTTTCATGCTATATATTTTTTTAGGTATTTTATAAAAAAATAATTGATTTTTGGTTTTCTAGTATGATAAAGTTTTTTTTTTTAATTTAAATCTAAAATACATTTAAAAAATGAAATGCTCAAGTTATACAAAGGAGGAATATTTAAGTTTAGTTTTAAGTTTATATAATATATATATTTTGTTTTATACACATTTAAATTTTGCTTTTAAATAGAAAAAATTTTATAAAAAAATTGTATTTTTTAAGTTAATAATTTTGCTAAAAATAATTTACAAGTTTAGTTTAGTAAGTCAGTGTTTTTAGTATTTAATTTTTTTTTTTTAAATTTAGTTTTGGAATTATAAATAAATACATTAAATTAGGTGCTTAAAAAGAGTAGTATGTAAGTTAAATTGGATTTATAATTCAAATTTGGCTTTAGTTACAAGATTTTTTTAAAATGATTTTCCTTTTTAGATGAAATGAGCAATCCATAGAGACTCATGCATAGTTAGTTACAAATTTAGATTAGTTTTTAATTTATAAAAAAAATATACAAAATAAACTTAATTTTTTTAAATAAAATTCTTCTGCCAGTTCCTTGATGTCTTTAACTTTTTATACCTTGGAAATCAAAATGGCAAAATTCTTCCAAATTCTTGTAATAATAATAATTTGTAAGCAAATTTTATACAATTTGCTTAATTTTAAATAATTCTTTTTTAAAATACACAATAGAATGTTTAAAAAAATTATAAACATTTTTAAAATTAAATTTATTTTGAACCAAAGTCAACGAAAAGGTTAAAATTGACTCAAATCATTAGATCACGTGGAATATTTGATTAAAGATTTATCAAAATTGATTCAGAAAGTTATTATAATCCAATTAGCTAATTTTGTTATAATATAAATATTTTTTGATCGAAAGAAATTTTTTTCTAAATCGGATTATCTGTCACAGAAATCACACAACATCGAGGAACTAAATGAGAATATTTCTTTCTGAGGGAATTTATTGATCAAAGAAAGGAAATTTTCTGATTTATTTTGTGATTTTAAAATTTTAAACGTCTGGGATCTTCAATTTTTTTTTAAGTCTGAACTATTATCTAGTTTATAGTTTGGACTAGAGTCCTGTCTATAGTCTAAATTATAAACAAGTCTATAGTCTGAATAATAGTCAACTCTAGTAGTCTGAATTGTAGTTAACTCTATAGTCTGGACTATAGTGAAGTATATAATTTGGATTATGGTGAAGTATATAGTCTGGACTAAAGTCAGATCCTATTTATAATCTGGATTATAGTCAAGTCTATAGAATGCACTATAGTCAAATCTATAGTCTGGACTACAGTCAAGTCCACAGTCCGAACTATTTATAGTTTGGACTACAGTCTAGACTATAGTCTAAACTATAGAACAGTTTATAGTGTGGACTATAGTCAAGTCTACTGTCTGGACTATAGTCAAGTCTATAGTCTGAACTATAGTTAAGTTAAAAAATCTATAGTCTGGACTATAGTCAAGTCTATAGCCTGGACTATAGTTAAGTCCATAGTCTGGACTATAGTCAAGATTATAGTAAAGTCTATTGTCAAGTCCATAGTTTGGAATATAGTCAAGTCTATAATATGTACAAAAATAGTCAGAATTATAGTAAAGTCTTTAGTCTGTACTTCAGTCAAGTCTATAATCTGGACTATATTATAGTCTATAGTCATGTCAAATTATAGACTATAGTCTGGACTGTAGTCTAATCTATAGTCTAGGCTATTGTCTAATCTAGTCAAGTTTATAGCCTGGACTATAGTTAAGCTTATAGTCTGGATTATAGTAATGTCTATAGTCTAATATATAGTCAAGTCTATAGTTTTGACTATAGTAAAATCTACAATCTGTACAGAAATAGTCTGGTTTATAGTAAAGACTAGACTTGAGTCAAGTCTATAGTCTGGACTATAGTAAAGTCTATAGTCATGTCAAAGTATGGACTATAGTCTGGACTGTAGTCTAATCTATAGTCTAGGCTATTGTCTAATCTAGACTGTATTCTACTCTATAGTCTGGGCAATAGTCTAATCATAGTCTGGTCTATACTATAAGCATAATCAGGACTATATTCTAATGTATCCTTTGACCAACAGTAATCAATAGTCTGGACTATAAACCAATTAATAGTCTGGACTATTGCCTATATCTATAGTCTAGGCTATAGTTTAGACCATAGTTAAGTCTGTAGTCTGGACTCTAGTATAAGTAGTTTAAAATTTGGACTATATATAGACTAATTTATAATCTGGACTATATTTAGTCTTGATTACTGAATAGAGTTATAGACCACAGAATATAAACTTGTATATACTGTATTATACAGTCCATATTCTAGACTATAGTCTAGTACATTTTTGGATGGTGAAAGGTTGACACTAGCTGAAAATTATTGTTAGTTATCTAATGTCAACCTTTCACCTTGGATAACCTAAAAAAATAATAATTTATACATTTTTCAAATTCTTCAACTCTTTTTCATTTTATAATTAATTAGTTATTCTTTTATGAAGGCAAATTTTTGTTTGGTATGATTAAAAAAAAAAAATAAAGCTTTATTTTGAAAATTAAAAAATCGGAGGCTCGGATAACTTTTTTTTTTTTGTAGTGCGCGTAGTATATATAGTTTTTGGAAAAATGTGTCTTTGGTACATATATTTTTTTTTTTTTTTGGTAAAGATTGTTAAAGTGTTGATTCTTCTTTAATGTTATTTTAATAATTTAATAATAAATTTTTATTATTTTACTTATAGTTAAGGAAGAAATTTGGAAAAGATTAAACTTAAATCTAAAAAAAAAATACTAATAATATAACTTAGTTTAAGAATAAAATGTGTTGTTTTTTTTTATAATTGAATTGTTTTCTCAACTGTTAAATTAAAGGAATTAAATTCCTTGGTTACCAGAGTTTAACTCAAATAATTCAAATACCAAAAGTATTACGGTTCAGTTAGCCATTGATTATATAATGAAATACTATAACTAATATAATCTTTTTCATATCGTTCAAGATAATATAATGTTTCTAAAGGTTTCCTTTGTTATACAAGGTTGAGATGAAAAATTTGTTAGTTATAGAGAGTCATTATGTAACCAATAGAGTGATTTTTTCGGTTAAAAGAAATGTTGGTTTTGTAAAATTTAAAAAAAGGATTTTACGTTTCTTTTTGTATAGTTAGTACTTTTTTTTACAAAACTTTAAGAAGAAAAGTATATATTTTAGCAAAAAAAATTTTTTTTTGGAATTTACTTCTTACTTTTCTTTTGTTTTTTATCCTCGGAAGACGCTGCGGTGATGGCGGCGGCTGCTGCTGCTAATGTAGTGTTAGTTGGCAACGCGGTATTTGTGGTACTATGTGTCTTCTCAAAGAGCTTTTTAACCGTAGGCTGCTGGGCTGAAACCTGTGTTATGGGATGATTGCCTAAAGCGGGTGTTACGGGTGTATCATCCAAGAATAAAGGATTCTTAACCTCCATTTCACCAGTCTATTAGAATAAGCAAGCAAACAGAAAAAGTAAATTAGCATAAAGAAATGAGTAGAAAAGTCCACAATATATTCTGATATATGTCGAACACATAGTTTACTTCTATACACTATATATATATGAAATGAAAGGTCTATGAAATATCTTTCTTTTCATATACATCTTGTTTATATACAGAACATATAGCTCGAGATAAAACCGAAAATATGGGAAAAACCTAATTTGGAATTTTGATTATACTTCCGATATTAATGGACTTAATATTGATCATATTAAATAACAAAATTCTAAAAAGCATATCTTATATACTGAATCCAGATTCAAAAACTTATACGTATATTAAATAAACGACAAACATCACTTACCGGAGCTAGACCAGGACACTCATAAACAGTATAATCACCCTCCTCATTATCATCATCACTTTCCACATAGGACATTTCACAGTTTTCTTCATTATTTTGCCTATTTTCCATAGCAATAATCTGTTGTTTTTGATGTTGATAATGATACATTTGAGCACTTTGAGCCAATTTACGATCACCCGAAGGCGATATATCTTTATTTGGACCCGTTACACCATAGGCGGGATATTCAACATCGGCCGCGGCCTTGCTTTTATTATGGAAACTGTAAATCACACAAAAAACGTAAAAATTCTTCTGTAAAACAAAATATTTTTTGTTAAAAAACTTACGTATACCAGGCTATTCCCAAAACGAATAAGCCCACTGTAGCCGCAGCACTAACACCCGCTATTAAAGCCACCACATACATGCCCATTTCTCCCTTCATGCCTAAATGTTCCCTCAGCACCATATGACCCTCGTTCATTTCGGCCTGTGGTGTTTGTTCGATTTTTGGATGCAATTTATCGATGAGGGTGGTAATATCCTGTCTAGCTGGTGCTACACCATTTTGTGTCTGCTGTACATTTAGGGTATTAACACCAGCTGCTGCTGCGGCCGCTGCTGTCTGTGGTTTAATTCTATGGAAATTGGTATTACCGCTTGTTGGTGTCGCTACACCAGCTTGTGCTGGTGACAATATCATAGTTGATCCCACCGAGTTCTTTATTTCGCCATTTTTACCTTCCTTATTGTTATTATTTTGCTCCTCCTCATTAGGTTTATATTCTTCATATTCTTCTAACACTCTAGAATCTAAATCTTCTTCCTTATCCACCTCCACGCCCTCTACTTCAGCAGCGTCGTCAGCATCAACATCACCATCATTCTCTCCTCTAATCACAGTTACTTCGTTGTTTTCCCCAGCCTCTTCATCTTCGTTTCTATCATCGTCCACCTCATAGTAACGCAAATCGGTGGGTGGCACGGCAAACTTAATTCTTCCTCTTTGATTTTCCAAACTGTTAATCGTGGGATATTTATAGGAGAAATCTGGATTTGTATTATCATATTGGTCATATTGTTGTATATTATTATTGAGACTATTCTCATTTTGTTCTTTCATCTTTTGCATGTATTCGTATTCTTCATTTTCTGCTGCCATGGCTGCTAATTGATGTTGACGATAACGTTCACGTAAACGTTCTTCTCGCTGACGTTGTCGCATTAGTTGCATATTAATTAATTCTAAATGTTGTTCGAACTGTTGTTGTAAACGTCGTCGGGCATTCTCTTCCATTAGTTGGGTTAGAAAGTCCGAATTGACTTCGAATGAGGCGGGTGCCTGTTGCAGAGGTCTTCGTCGGAGACCTGGAAGTTGGAGAGAAGGAATGGTATTATTAATAATTTGTAAAAAGTCTACATACTCGGCAATAGACTATAAACTAGACTATATACTAGACTATAAACCAGACTAGACAAGAGCATAGACCAAAGTATATACATAGACTAGACTATAACTAGACTATAGAACTATATACTAGACTATAACTATACTATAGATTAGACTATAGACTTGAATATAGACTAGACTATAGACTAGAACATAGACTAGACTATAGACTAGACTATAGACTAGACTAGACTAGACTATAGACTAGACTATAGACTAGACTATAGACTAGACTATAGACTAGACTATAGACTAGACTATAGACTAGACTATAGACTAGACTATAGACTAGACTATAGACTAGACTATAGACTAGACTACAGACTAGACTATAGACTAGACTATAGACTAGACTATAGACTAGACTATAGACTAGACTATAGACTAGACTATAGACTAGACTATAGACTAGACTATAGACTAGACTATAGACTAGACTATAGACTAGACTATAGACTAGACTATAGACTAGACTATAGACTAGACTATAGACTAGACTAGTCTATAGTCTAGTCTGTAGTCTAGTCTATTATCTAGTTTATAATCTAGTCTATTGTCTAGTATATAGTGTAGCCTATACTCTAGTCTATAGTTTAGTCTGTAGCCTAGTCTATAGTCTAGTCTATAGTCTGGTCTATAGTCTAGTCTATAGTCTAGTCTATAGTCTAGTCTATAGTGTGGTCTATAGTCTAGTCTATAGTCTAGTCTATAGTCTAGTCTATAGTCTAGTCTATAGTCTAGTCTATAGTCTAGTCTATAGTCTAGTCTATAGTCTAGTCTATAGTCTAGTCTATAGTCTAGTCTATAGTCTAGTCTATAGTCTAGTCTATAGTCTAGTCTATAGTCTAGTCTATAGTCTAGTCTATAGTCTAGTCTATAGTCTAGTCTATAGTCTAGTCTATAGTCTAGTCTATAGTCTAGTCTATAGTCTAGTCTATAGTCTAGTCTATAGTCTAGTCTATAGTCTAGTCTATAGTCTAGTCTATAGTCTAGTCTATAGTCTAGTCTATAGTCTAGTCTATAGTCTAGTCTATAGTCTAGTCTATAGTCTAGTCTATAGTCTAGTCTATAGTCTAGTCTATAGTCTAGTCTATAGTCTAGTCTATAGTCTAGTCTATAGTCTAGTCTAGTCTATAGTCTAGTCTAGTCTTTAGTCTATAGTCTATAGTCTATAGTCTATAGTCTATAGTCTATAGTCTATAGTCTATAGTCTATAGTCTAGTCTAGTCTATAGTCTAGACTAGTCTATAGTCTATAGTCTATAGTCTAGCCTAGTCTAGTCTAGTCTAGCCTATAGTATAGCCCATAGTCTAGTCTATAGTCTAGTCTATAATCTAGTCTATAGTCTAGTCTATAGTCTAGTCTATAGTCTAGTCTATAGTCTAGTCTATAGTCTAGTCTATAGTCTAGTCTATAGTCTAGTCTATAGTCTAGTCTATAGTCTAGTCTATAGTCTAGTCTATAGTCTAGTCTATAGTCTAGTCTATAGTCTAGTCTATAGTCTAGTCTATAGTCTAGTCTATAGTCTAGTCTATAGTCTAGTCTATAGTCTAGTCTATAGTCTAGTCTATAGTCTAGTCTATAGTCTAGTCTATAGTCTAGTCTATAGTCTAGTCTATAGTCTAGTCTATAGTCTAGTCTATAGTCTAGTCTATAGTCTAGTCTATAGTCTAGTCTATAGTCTAGTCTATAGTCTAGTCTATAGTCTAGTCTATAGTCTAGTCTATAGTCTAGTCTATAGTCTAGTCTATAGTCTAGTCTATAGTCTAGTCTATAGTCTAGTCTATAGTCTAGTCTATAGTCTAGTCTATAGTCTAGTCTATAGTCTATTCTATAGTCTAGTCTATAGTCTAGTCTATATTCTAGTCTATAGTTTAGTCTATAGTCTAGTCTATAGTCTAGTCTATAGTCTAATCTATAGTCTAGTCTATAGTCTAGTCTTAGTCTAGTCTATAGTCTAGTCTATAGTCTAGTCTATAGTCTAGTCTATAGTCTAGTCTATAGTCTAGTCTATAGTCTAGTCTATAGTCTAGTCTATAGTCTAGTCTATAGTCTAGTCTATAGTCTAGTCTATAGTCTAGTCTATAGTCTAGTATAGTCTAGTCTATAGTCTAGTCTATAGTCTAGTCTATAGTCTAGTCTATAGTCTAGTCTAGTCTATAGTCTAGTCTAGTCTATAGTCTAGTCTAGTCTGTAGTCTAGACTATTATCTAGTTTATAATCTAGTCTATTGTCTAGTATATAGTGTAGTCTATATTCTAGTCTATAGTTTAGTCTGTAGTCTAGTCTATAGTCTAGTCTATAGTCTGTAGTCTAGTCTATAGTCTAGTCTATAGTCTGGTCTATAGTCTAGTCTATAGTCTAGTGTATAGTCTGGTCTATACTTTGGTCTATACTCTTGTCTAGTATATAGTTTAGTCTATAGTCTGGTCTATAATCTAGTCTATAGTCTAGTCTATAGTCTAGTCTATAGACTAGACTCTAGACTAGAGTATAGACTATATTATAGACAAGACTATAGACTAGATTATAGACCAGACTATAGACTAAACTGTATACTAGACAAGAGTATAGACCAAAGTATAGACTAGACTATAGAACTATAGACTAGACTATAACTATACTATAGACTATACTATAGTCTAGACTATAGACCAGACTACAGACTAGGCTATAGACTACACTAAAGACTACACCATAGACTACACTATAGGCTAGACAATTGACTAGACCAAAGACTAGGCTATATACTATATAACAGCTAGATTGTACTCAAACTGAGGAGTTTATATAGCATATTATAGTTCTTTGGAGATTTTAATTTTGACATTTCAGTCATATAAACAAGGCGGATGATGAATTGACACCTTTTAGCATACTTGTGACTAGTTACTGAACTAACCTGTTAAGAGTTTGACTTAATATACATATCTTTCTTTTTTCACTACTCAAGGGGCTAGTGCTTTTAAATCAATTTTTATTATATTAACTCTGTATAAATGCGTATTAATAAATAATGTTTCTTAATATATGCTTATACATACATACATTTCCAATTTCCCTAATTTAAATAACTCCAACCACTAATTATTTAATATATTTCTATAATTTCCTAATCATTTCCAAGTATCCATTAATTTCATATAAATATGTACATATTGAACAAATTGTTATAGATTTATGAATATTTAAATATCATTGCCACCAAAATAACTATTAGCATATGTATACAAATACTTATAAGAACTATTTTTAGTAACTCTACCCCAGCCAGGTGCAACACCCTGAAAAAAACAACAACAAAAAACAAAGAAAAAAAGTCATAAAGTCTACGTATGTTAAAATTAAAAATATTCGAAAAAAAAAAAACTAACAAAATAAACATTCAACAAAAATTCACTTTTATTAGCCTTTACGTGTTAAGAGATAATTAACTCAAGTCCATAACCAAAGAAAACACGTTCGTTATATATATTAAAAAAAAGGATATTACTACTATTTTTGTAATATCTATTTTTAGACTCCCAAAAAAAGTAAAAATCAAGAGTATAAAAAATAAGCAACAAAAACAAAGGAATAAATATATAATATGATACAAATCGAAAAGCATTTCTATATTGGATTCTATACGTATATAATTGTAAATATAGTTTTCTTTTTTTTTTCTTAGGAATGATGAAAAACTACGTAAAACATTGAAAATTTAAATACCTACAAATATTGGTTGTACACTGGTATATGGCAGAAGTATATTTGTATAAATGTAAATCTATTTTACACGTACAATAATATAAGGATTTCTTCTTTAGGACTTATAATGGCCAATAATACTTATACATACATATATTCATATACATACATATGTATATACATTTATATACATATATTCTTTATATAATATATGTAAAAAAAAAAGAAAAAGATTCTATATACGATACAGGTTTTGTGACGTAAATGAACGAAATGAAAACACGTAAAGGCCCCCTACCATTTAGAATACTGGTAACAACAACCACCACCATTATCACTTAACCACGAATATCCAAATTAGGCGAAGAAGAAGGTAGGGAGAAGTGTGTTTGTAAGGGTAGGCACTTGTTTGTTGAGTGGCCTACTACTGACTGCTGCAGTAAAATTATAGACACACCGAGACCCGTTAATATACAATTTACTCATGTATTTTTTGGAATACATATAATGTTACCAGATTTGGGTAAAATTCTACTACAAATTATACTAAGGACTAGACTCTAGTCGGGACTATAGACTAAACAACAGACAGCCTACAAACTAGACTACATAATAGACAATAAACAAAACAATGGACTTGGTTAAAAACTAGACAATAGACTAGACAATTAGTCTATACATAAGAATATAGTCTAGACTATAGATTAGACTATATACTTGACTACAGACTAGACTCTACTCTAGACTGAAGATTAGACTATAGACTAGACTATACACTAGACTAGATAATAGACTAGACTATAGACTTGATAATAGACTAGACAATAGACAAGACTATATACAAAAGAATGTACCAGACTATAGACTAGAATATAGTCCAGAATATAGACTAGACTATAGACTAGATTATAGACTAGACTATAGACTAGATTATAGACTAGACTATAGACTAGATTATAGACTAGACTATAGAATAGACTATAGACTAGACTATAGACTAGACTATAGACTAGACTATAGACTAGACTATAGACTAGACTATAGACTAGACTATAGACTAGACTATAGACTAGACTATAGACTAGACTATAGACTAGACTATAGACTAGACTATAGACTAGACTATAGACTAGACTATAGACTAGACTATAGACTAGACTATAGACTAGACTATAGACTAGACTATAGACTAGACTATAGACTAGACTATAGACTAGACTATAGACTAGACTATAGTCTAGACTATAGACTAGACTATAGACTAGACTATAGACTAGACTATAGACTAGACTATAGACTAGACTATAGACTAGACTATAGACTAGACTATAGACTAGACTATAGACTAGACTATAGACTAGACTATAGACTAGACTATAGACTAGACTATAGACTAGACTATAGACTAGACTATAGACTAGACTATAGACTAGACTATAGACTAGACTATAGACTAGACTATAGACTAGACTATAGACTAGACTATAGACTAGACTATAGACTAGACTATAGACTAGACTATAGACTAGACTATAGACTAGACTATAGACTATAGACTAGACTATAGACTAGACTATAGACTAGACTATAGACTAGACTATAGACTAGACTATAGACTAGACTATAGACTAGACTATAGACTAGACTATAACTAGACTATAGACTAGACTATAGACTAGACTATAGACTAGACTGTAGACTAGACCTATAGACGAGACTATAGACTAGACTATAGACTAGACTATAGACTAGACTATAGACTAGACTATAGACGAGACTATAGACTAGACTATAGACTAGACTATAGACTAGACTATAGACTAGACTATAGACTAGACTATAGACTAGACTATAGACTAGACTATAGACTAGACTATAGACCTAGACTATAGACTAGACTATAGACTAGACTAGACTAGACATAGACAGACTATAGACTAGACTATAGACTAGACTATAGACTAGACTATAGACTAGACTATAGACTAGACATGACTAGACTATAGACTAGACTATAGACTAGACTATAGACTAGACTATAGACTAGACTATAGACTAGACTATAGACTAGACTATAGACTAGACTATAGACTAGACTATAGACTAGACTATAGACTAGACTATAGACTAGACTATAGACTTGATAATAGACTAGACAATAGACAAGACTATATACAAAAGAATGTACCAGACTATAGACTAGAATATAGTCCAGAATATAGACTAGACTATAGACTAGATTATAGACTAGACTATAGACTAGATTATAGACTAGACTATAGACTAGATTATAGACTAGACTATAGACTAGATTATAGACTAGACTATAGAATAGACTATAGACTAGACTATAGACTAGACTATAGACTAGACTATAGACTAGACTATAGACTAGACTATAGACTAGACTATAGACTAGACTATAGACTAGACTATAGACTAGACTATAGACTAGACTATAGACTAGACTATAGACTAGACTATAGACTAGACTATAGACTAGACTATAGACTAGACTATAGACTAATAGACTAGACTATAGACTAGACTATAGACTAGACTATAGACTAGACTATAGTCTAGACTATAGACTAGACTATAGACTAGACTATAGACTAGACTATAGACTAGACTATAGACTAGACTATAGACTAGACTATAGACTAGACTATAGACTAGACTATAGACTAGACTATAGACTAGACTATAGACTAGACTATAGACTAGACTATAGACTAGACTATAGACTAGACTATAGACTAGACTATAGACTAGACTATAGACTAGACTATAGACTAGACTATAGACTAGACTATAGACTAGACTATAGACTAGACTATAGACTAGACTATAGACTAGACTATAGACTAGACTATAGACTAGACTATAGACTAGACTATAGACTAGACTATAGACTAGACTATAGACTAGACTATAGACTAGACTATAGACTAGACTATAGACTAGACTATAGACTAGACTATAGACTAGACTATAGACTAGACTATAGACTAGACTATAGACTAGACTATAGACTAGACTATAGACTAGACTATAGACTAGACTATAGACTAGACTATAGACCTAGACTATAGACTAGACTATAGACTAGACTATAGACTAGACTATAGACTAGACTATAGACTAGACTATAGACTAGACTATAGACTAGCCTATAGACTAGACTATAGACTAGACTATAGACTGAGACTATAGACTAGACTATAGACTAGACTATAGACTAGACTATAGACTAGACTATAGACTAGACTTAACTGACAAGACTAGACTATAGACTAGATATAGACTAGACTATAGACTAGACTATAGACTAGACTATAGACTAGACTATAGACTAGACTATAGACTAGACTATAGACTAGACTATAGACTAGACTATAGACTAGACTATAGACTAGACTATAGACTAGACTATAGACTAGACTATAGACTAGACTATAGACTAGACTATAGACCTATGACTATAGACTAGACTATAGACTAGAACTATAGACTAGACTATAGACTAACTTAGACTAGACTATAGACTAGACATAGACTGACTAGACTAGACTATAGACTGACTAGACTAACTATAGACTAGACTATAGACTAGACTATAGACTAGACTATAGACTAGACTATAACGAGACTATAGACTAGATAAGACTATAGACTTGACTATAGACTTGACTATAGACTTGACTATAGACTAGACTATAGACTAGACTATAGACTTGACTATAGACTTGACTATAGACTAGACTATAGACTTTACTATAGACTTGACAATAGTTCAGACTATAGACTAGTCTATAGTATTGACTATAGACTAGACTATAGTTAACACAATAGTCCAGACTATAGACTAGACTATAGAATAGACTACACTAAGAGAAAAAGCTGCACTCCAGACATGAATTTCATCACTTGATCAATGAAATTTTTCATTGTTTACGAGCTAACGTAGCCCTTCACTGGATTAATGTAGAATGTTTCATTATATAGTCCAGGCTATAGACTAGACTATAGTCCAGGCTATAGACTAGACTATAGTCCCAGGCTACAGACTATAGTCCAGGCTATATATAGACCAGCCTATAGTCTAGTCACAGACTAGATTATAGTCCATACTATAAACTAGACTAAAGTCCAGACTACAGTCCAGACTAAAGACTAGACTATAGTCCAGACTAAAGACTAGACTATAGTCCAGACTATAGACTAGACTATATTCCAGACTATAGACTATAGTCCAGACTATAGTCCACACTATAGACTAGACTATAGTTCACACTATAGACTAGAACTGTAGTCCAGACTATAGACTAGACTATAGTCCAGACTATAGACTAGACTATAGTCCAGACTATAGACTAGACTATAGTCCAGACTATAGACTAGACTATAGTCCCAGACTATAGACTAGACTATAGTCCAGACTATAGACTAGACTATAGTCCAGACTATAGACTAGACTATAGTCCAGACTATAGACTAGACTATAGTCCAGACTATAGACTAGACTATAGTCCAGACTATAGACTAGACTATAGTCCGACTATAGACTAGACTATAGTCCAGACTAGTCCAGACTATAGACTAGACTATAGTCCAGACTATAGACTAGACTATAGTCCAGACTATAGACTAGACTATAGTCCAGACTATAGACTATAGTCCAGACTATAGACTATAGTCCAGACTATAGACTATAGTCCAGACTACAGACTAGACTATAGTCCAGACTATAGACCAGACTATAGACTAGACTATAGTCCTGACTATTGACTAGACTATAATTCGGACTATAGACTAGACAAAATACAGTCTGGACTATAGAGCATGAGTTATCACTTAGAGCAAAACATCCATAATATTTTTTCAACAAATTAATAACTTTCTTAGTCTTCTCTAAATAAAGGAAGTAATATAGAATGTAAATGTCATAAATCAGCCAAAATCAATAATAAATCTGGCATCCTCCCTACCTTTCCCCAACATCCTCAACGCAAAAATTTTGCTCGTGTACATCTTGTTATAGTAACTGTATAAGTGAATTTATCTCATCTACACACACATTCACTTGTACTTCTAACGAGAAACTTTCAAATTGGAAACAGTTAGAAGCGGAAGTCGTCTAAATGTCGACACAAGTCGTTCGTACACTAGTTGTTTGTTTGTGTAAACGTTACATCTATTTGTTTGCTGTTTTATTATTGTTGTTAGAATTTTGAATTTGTAGTTAAATATTATAACTTCGTTTTAAGATGATGATGATAGTAATTCGCTAGTTCTCGGTTAGATTGTTAGAAAAAAGGGAATTACAGAAGGTGAAAAAAAACACATATTTTCTTTATACACAAAAACATTCGGTAAACATATTTACACAATATTTTTAAACTGAATTACGTTTTTTTTTTGTAGTTTATTTTGTTGTTTTTCTTATTAACTGATAAATACATACGTACTACATGTGTATATTTGTTGGTAGTTACATATTGTTTTTTTTTTTTTTGCAGTCACTGAATGTTTAAAAGGTGGAAGAAACCATAAAATGAATGGAAAAATAAAATGGGTTGTTGCATAAAATTCAGACGTACCTAGGTATTTGCTTATATATGTATTTGTATATTTATAATTGTATATATAAAATAAGAGAATGAGAGCATTTCTATATGGGAATATACTATATTAAACGTTTTTTCTTTCATTTTTGCAAACATATGTGCGTCTTACATATTGTAACTGTCAGGACTGTCAAATTTGACAATTTCAATGGAAACATAATGATTATATTCTAAAAACAATAAAAAATAACATTCGGTCATACTTTCGGAAAATGGGGTAATGTTCTGTCACATAATGATCCAATACTGATATAATTTGTTAAAAACTTGTTATACAATTGAACTAGAACTGAACTAGAACAGAACTAGAACTGAACTAGAACTGAACTAGAACTGAACTAGAACTGAACTAGAACAAAACTAGAACTGAACTACAACTGAACTAGAATTAACTAGAACTAAACTAGAACTGAACTAAGAAACTGAACTAGAACTGAACTAGAACTGAACTAGAACTGAACTAGAACTGAACTAGAACTGAACTAGAACTGAACTAGAAACTGAACTAGAACTGAACTAGACTGAACTAGAACTGAACTAGAACTGAACTAGAACTGAACTAGAACTGAACTAGAACATTCGGTCATACTTTGGAAAATGGGGTAATGTCTGTCACATAATGATCCAATACTGATATAATTTGTTAAAAACTTGTTATAAAATTGAACTAGAACTGAACTAGAACAGAACTAGAACAGAACTAGAACTGAACTAGAACTGAACTAGAACTGAACTAGAACTGAACTAGAACAGAACTAGAACAAACTAGAACAGAACTAGAACTGAACTAGAACTGAACTAGAACTGACTAGAACTGAACTAGAACTGAACTAGAACTGAACTAGAACTGAACTAGTAACAAAACTAGAACTGAACTAGAACTGAACTAGAACTGAACTAGAACTGAACTAGAATTAAACTAGAACTAAACTAGAACTGAATAGAACTGAACTAACTGAACTAGAACTGAACTAGAACTGAACTAGAACTGAACTAGAACTGAACTAGAACTGAACTAGAACTGAACTAGAACTGAACTAGAACTGAACTAGAACTGAACTAGAACTGAACTAGAACTGAACTAGAACTAAACTAGAACTAAACTAGAACTAACTAGAACTGAACTAGAACTGAACTAGAACTGAACTAGAACTGAACTAGAACTGAACTAGAACTGAACTAGAACTGAACTAGAACTGAACTAGAACTGAACTAGAACTGAACTAGAACTGAACTAGAAAACTGACTAGAACTAGAACTGAACTAGACTAAACTAGAACTGAACTAGAACTGAACTAGAACTGAACTAGAACTGAACTAGAACTGAACTAGAACTGAACTAGAACTGAACTAGAACTGAACTAGAACTGAACTAGAACTGAACTAGAACTGAACTAGAACTGAACTAGAACTGAACTAGAACTGAACTAGTACTGAACTAGAACTGAACTAGAACTGAACTAGAACTGAACTAGAACTAAACTAGAACTGAACTAGAACTGAACTAGAAACTGAACTAGAACTGAACTAGAACTGAACTAGAACTGAACTAGAACTGAACTAGAACTGAACTAGAACTGGAACTAGAACTGAAACTAGAACTGAACTAGAACTGAACTAGAACTGAACTAGAACTGAACTAGAACTGAACTAGAACTGAACTAGAACTGAACTAGAACTGAACTAGAACTGAACTAGAACGAACTAGAACTGAACTAGAACTGAACTAGAACTGAACTAGAACTGAACTAGAACTGAACTACGAACTGACTAGAAACTGAACTAGAACTGAACTAGAACTGAACTAGAACTGAACTAGAACTGAACTAGAACTGAACTAGAACTGAACTAGAAACTGAACTAGAACTGAACTAGAACTGAACTAGAACTGACTAACTACTAGAACTGACTAGAACTGAACTAGAACTGAACTGAACTGAACTAGAACTGAACTAGAACTGAACTAGAACTGAACAGAACTGACTAGAACTGACTAGAAACTGAACTAGAACTGAACTAGAACTGAACTGACTAGAACTGACTAGAACTGAACTAGAACTGAACTAGAACTGAACTAGACTGAACTAGAACTGAACTAGTACTGAACTAGAACTGAACTAGAACTGAACTAGAACTGAACTAGAACTGAAACTAGAACTAGAACTGAACTAGAACTGAACTTAGAACTAGAACTGAACTAGAACTGAACTAGAACTGAAACTAGAACTGAACTAGAACTGAACTAGAACTGAATTAGAACTAGAACTGAACTAGAACGAACTAGAACTGACTAGAACTGAACTAGAACTGAACTAGAACTGAACTAGAACTGAACTAGAACTGAACTAGAACTGAACTAGAACTGAACTAGAACTGAACTAGAACTGAACTAGAACTGAACTAGAACTGAACTAGAACTGAACTAGAACTGAACTAGAACTGAACTAGAAAACTGACTAGAACTGAACTAGAACTGAACTAGAACTGAACTAGAACTGAACTAGAACTGAACTAGAACGAACTAGAACTGAACTAGAACTGAACTAGAACTAGACTGAACTAGAACTGAACTAGAACTGAACTAGAACTGAACTAGAACTGACTAGAAATAAAGTAAGGCTAGAAATTAATTAGAACTAAAATGAACTAATCTAGAACTGAACCATAAATTTGCTTATTATATTAACTCTTCATTTATTATAGTCTTTGGGTCAAATGGTGAGGTCTCTCTTGAGTTTGTTTTAAAAACCAATCTTGAGTTTGTTTTAAAAACCGCATTTAACTTTAAAGGGTTACTTTGTAAATTGTTTTTGTTTTTCATAAATACATATATATTTTCCAACTAAGGTGAATTATTTTAAGATGAGAAAGGATATTAGCGGTGTAAAGGAAAATTTGCTCTAAAACTGCAGTTTATAAGGGCTGAATTGGGGTTTGTATGTATGTACATATATTACAGTAGTTATTTTTTATAAAAGAAGACAATTTAAGTATAGAAATTTATTTTTAACTTACCTGGATAAATTGACATTTCGCATTGACCCAGAATATTAAGCAATATAATAAGGGCCACAAGTGTTTTCAATTGGATATCGCCCACTATTGCTGCAAACATATTGTTGTTTATTGCTGACTAAAACTTTTTCCTCGAATTTTTTTAATAAGTTATAAACAAATCACAATTTGATTATAATAAAAGTATCAGTTTTCTCTTAAATATTTGTTGTTTTAATTTTTAAAGATTTTCTTTATTTTTCATGCAACCATATGGCCGGTCATTGTAGTGAAAGAGTGAGTGAGTGGTTGTTTGACTGCAGCTTCAAAGCCTTTAACCTTTAGAATTCAAAATATTGATTTTCTTTTCTTTGAATTTAAACACTA